GTGAAGCGAACCCCCCAGCAGAGTCTCTCCCCCGCTGCCATAACTTACAATTATGATATATCCGACAAACAAACTTTTCGAATGGGAGTTTTTGGCCGGGGTAAAGGAAACCTTTATCAGCACAACCACGTGCATCAAACAATTCAAAAGGGAGAAGACAACCACAAAGTGTTCCATAAGTGACGCATCCTTTTTGGTTAAGTCTAAGGAAGGGTAGAGGTGGGGGGGAGGTACAACGGGTTAGAAGCGCGACGGGTTGAGGAGGTCCCTCTCTATGGGCGTAAGGGGGAAAACACCTTAACACTTGAAGACGAGGAACTCCACCCTGTAGGCCTAATACACACATTTATAGTATATTCCCCTGGAGGCCCATTTTCAGGAGCCTATCTATGCGCGCTTTAGATCCTTTTTTTTTTTACTTGCAGAAAAGGCGAAGCATTCTACTAAGATAATAAATAGCGACACCGTTAGGTGGATGCAGATGTATTCTTTTATGTTGTGTATCCTGAGGGCGTTGTATTCGGCTTCTTTCTTTTGGTCCGAAAACTCGGGGGAGATGTAATACCTGGTGGGGAGAAGAAGGACGGAATGGGAGCAAAAATAAACAAAAAACGATTTGTGGTTTCCTGGGGGCATGTTTCCTCTTAAGTTACACACACGAGTGCAAAGGGACATTTATCCAAAAATGCGTATGCGCACGTAGAGAACTCCCAACTCGAAGCCGTACTTGTTCTTTATCACGCGCTTCATCGGCCTTCCCTCTCTTTTTTCATCTTCTTCCTCCATCTTTGCGTAAGTATTTTCATTCATTAAGGAGTTATGTTTCAAATGTGCGTGTGTGCGCGTAGAAGGCTCTCTTCTTCGCTTTCCTAAGTGGGTCCACAATGGGAGGTTAAACACGAGCGCACGTTTAAGTGCGCGGCGTGGACAGTTTTAACTCCCTGTGCTGCTTAGCAGTGATTGAGAAAGAAGACATGTTTCACGAGTTCCTCTGGTGATCACAGCGTATCTCGCTGCAATCTTTCCAGGGCGTTTCAGCTCTATTAAAATGGGCTATTTTTTGCTGCCCCTTCTGGTGTTTTTTTTTTTTGCCGCTTCTTTTGTCGCTTTTTTTTTGCCGTTTTTTCTGCCGGTCTGTTGCCTCGTCTCTCAGTTTCCCTGACAATGAATTCCCCCCTCTTCGCGCGTGTTCAGGAATTCGAAAAAAAAATCACCTGACTGCGTTCACAACGATCACGAAGAATTAAAAGAAAGAAAGAAAAAAAAAACAATAATAATTACACACACTAGTGTATATTCTCCAGTACTTTTTCAAAGATGTAGATATGCACAAAATAAAAAGTCACACGTCGGCATACGTTTACATAAGTATACAAATGTGTAATATATATACATGTGCCTAATTCATACACGTTTTAAGAAAAAAAAAAAAAGAGAAAAATGCCTCTTTCAAATCGAATGGGTGAGATCATTTTAAATTCTTACAAAAACTTCAATGTTCATTTCTCCACTTTAAATGTGAATGCTTTATTTTATTTTTTTTTTTTTTTGGTTATAACTTTATACAAAACTGTTTCTTTTGCTTAAAAAAAAAATCCCCGCAAAAAGACATAAATTTGGTGATGCACAGAAGATTGTTTTTTTTTTTTTTTTTTCTTTTTTTCCTTCCTTACTGACCATTTGATCGCTTACGAAGTAGCATTAATCTCATCTCATCACTGTTATGGCAATTGCTTAATTTTGCCTTTTTTAAAAAAGTGCAGATTGAGGAGCAAATGTGTGCAAGCTCTCTTTGCGTTTTGCGCCTCTATCTACCATATCGTATGGCTGATGCTACATTTAAAATGGGGAAAGGGGCGAAGCTTCGAGGAATGGGAGAAGCAGGATAAACAGAAGCAACATACGCACTAGAAGCAATAGAGGCTATTGTGTCGATCCCCTCGAGGCGAGTCGAAACAGATGGCATAACATAAGGACGTTTATGTTGCCTACAGTATTTTTCCTACATTTGTTCTGCCTACGTTGCGAAACTGAATTGTTGTGTGGGGGGTGAGTTCATGTGGATTCCTCAAGAGGCGGGTCACCCTTGCACGGGGATATGCTTGCGGTAGGGGGCAGATGGACGAGGACAAATAAAAAAACGATATATTACAATGTTCTTTCACGTTTGGGCAACTCGCCGATCGTGATACTACCCCTTCATCATTTTGTTTGTCTCCTTTTCATATCGGAAACCGAGGATTGTTTAAAACTCACACCGTAAAGATGCCGTCCATCCCCAAGTGACCGAAATGTAGTGTTACAGGGTTTGTTAGCTTTTTCGTAATTCTCTTTTATTTTATTTTATTCTTTTTTTTTTTTCATGCAACATTGTGAACGTCTGAAGAACGTATAAAAATCTTCTCCTTTATGTTTGGGCCGTTATGAAGTATGCATTTTTTTTAATTTAAGGTGGAAACTCCACTTTAATATTTCCACGTTTTACAAATAAGTAGCTGTTTCTTAGTCAATGCTTTTTTTTTTTTTGATGGGTGTGAGAGAATTACCGCTGCTTCCACTGGGGGGAATTAACCTCCGCAGTAAATTAAGATCTCAGAAAAAGTGTCTATATAAAAAAAAAATTTCCACTTAAGAAATTTCCTTCAGTGATTTTTCCCACTTTTCATACAATATCATGGTTGGGGGGAAAAAGATTTAAGCAAAGTCAGCCAACTGTCAATAGGGAGCGGTTAAATGTGCATTAGAGGATGTCGGGCATGGGGAAGATCATATTCTGTTCTTTCCCCTTTGCGCATAGCACACCCTTTTTTTCGCATGGCATACCTGGGCAATTTCAATCCGCTTCATCGCACGAAAGGAAAATTTGGCTAATTTAGTGTAATAAACTGGAAAGATAAAAAAAAAAGCTAAACGGGTTATCACTATCGCGCAAATTGAGCAGTTATTTGTAACTTAAGCACCGAAGTGAGGTTTTTTTTTTTTTTCTTTTTTTCCCGCGTTTATAACATTAAGGGGTCTCACTTTTGCATTCTTTGGTCGAAAAAAATCTGGGTGAACTTGAGAAATAGGGATACTCCACTTTGAGTGTATTTTTTTCTAATTCGTAAAGTTTACCATTCCTCAAATGTTCATTTGTGTTTATGCAAATGGTTGGCAGAAACCTACGGAGTGTTACCGGGGGTGAAGAAAACGACAGGCTAAAAAAATACACTTCACATTTCATCGCAAATCCTTGTGATCCAATATAGCGGTAATAATATGACGAGATGAACCAAAACAGCGCGCGCAGATCAACACGTTCAGGCACATGCACACGTCTGACCTCCTGTATCAGTGCACACACAGGCAGGACTGCAGGCGTACGATACGTATAAGGACACGACATCGTTTGCAGCCTTCTGCTAGTTAACTAAAAAAAGACTCAGCCTGTGAACCGTGCCCCTTTTTAAGGACTTTTCCCTCCTCCATTTCATCCGCGCCTCCACTTGAAACTTACCCCGATTCAATCTACCTGCCCACTTGTGGTTTTTCCAAAATGGGGTTGATCAAAAATATTTTTTACCCGAACGTCATACCAAGGATCAAGAATCAAATCAAGGGTTACAACATCAATCAGAGTGTGAAGAAGGCTCTGGGTAGGGCATAAAAGGGGGCTCAATACAATGCCCAGGGAGCACCATGTGGAGAGACATATCGGGAGGGAGAAAGAAGAAGAAAAAAAAGGAGGATACTGCTTACACACCTAGCTATGCGTTTATGCAAGCACCCCCCTGTGCATATTTATTTTGCCCGCGCTTAAATCCACGTTCCCCTCTTTTCCACGTAGTGTCCGATACAGGCATTCTGACCATCCACTTCTGGGCCCCTACATTTAAATGGTCCATCTCCCTGGCGAACATCGTTGACATAAATAGGGACCCAAATCTGCTTTCCTTGCCCCAGCAGTTTGGTAATTGATGACCCCACTGCTACGTTAATCCGTTTTGTACGACGTAGGCACATATCGTATTTTTTTTTCTTTTCATTCCTTTTTACACCATCTTTGTATTCCCCCTTTAACACTCCATGCTTCTCCTTAGCCATATGCCTGACCGGGTTGCTGTTCTCAAGATTCGCCTACGTCATTAAGCCGCGAAATTTTAATTTGCTGACCAGTAAGTTTAGCAGGAGTGGAGAAGGCTCCTCTGCGGGGGTCCGTCCTGGAAGACGTTAGCACATGTCCGCACAGGCGTTTATGTGTCTATGTTTATATGCACGTTTATATGCACATTTATATGTATGCTTGCACGTATGCACCCATGGCGTAGGACCATTTTCCTTCCCCTCCGTAGTAAACTTCTTCATGAGCTTAACGGCGCTGTATCAGATTGCGCGCATCGCGGATTATAAGTATAATACGGAGTATAAAAATGGGCGCATTGGAGAGAAAAAGGAGGGTGCGCAATGAAACGAAAGAAAGGAGAAATAATAAAATGTGAAGAAGGAGAAATGATAAGACTTAAAAAAGGCAGAAAATAAGCAAGTAGCGAAGCAGCCGCACGTGATAAAAATGATAATCAAAAATAACAACACCCATGTCGTAGTCCATAGGTCGTTATTTTGTTTTGTTTATTTTATTTTTTTTTTCCACCCCAAATGACACAATCAAGCAATCACAATTTTAAAGCATAAACTGTTCCCACGGGAAAGAATAACTATATATTTTTAAATACAAAAAAATAATCACACAAAAAAAAAAAAAATTAAAACACCTTTTACAATTTTCGAATGTAAAAGGGCATACAATGGGAAAGACGCATTCCATAAAAGTGTTAACCACAGCGGCAGGGAGAAAAACAATGCTGTCTCACACAGTTGCAATAAATGAGAGTTTATTTGCCAACAATTCGTCATGCTGCACGAGCTGGATTGTCAGAATATATATATCGTGTTAAATATGCGCACACCATTTTTACCCCTCATGGGAGCGATTAATCATTGCATTTGCGCGAATGTAAAGGTTAGCAGAGATTGGAGGGGTGCAATCTTTCTTCCCCTTTTTGCAGCTTAACGCTCTTTTCCTTGACTTCACTCCGACTTGTGTTCACCATTGCTTGGAAATGTTTTATCCTTTCTCTTATCTGCTTCAAATGTTGCTTGATTAATTTTTTTTTTTTTATAAACTTATTAATGTAACTTAGCCTCAGTTTTTTCTCCTTCTTTGAATTGGGGAAAACAAAGGATGATATTTTACATTCCATTTTGATTCGTCTTCTTATTTTTTTTTTTCTTCTTTGTTTATGCTTTTTCTTCATTTTGTTTCTATTCGATATTATGTATGACCGCACCTTGTCCTCTATGTCATTGTTCAGGTTAATTTCCAGGTTGAATTTTCTGACTGGTCTCTTCTTCACGCCAACCATTTTGTAGGGGAATGATCACTGGGGAGAGCGGGGAGTTGTTAATTTGCGCAAGGCGGAGGTGCCGGTGACTTGTAACATGCGTGCTTTCATACGGACGTATGTATGTAACATTTATGGCACTAATAAATTGGTCACTGTGGGGGTAAAACGAGAGTGTCTGTCTGCATGCCCCAACGAGGTTTTGACTGAATGTCCGTGGCTCCCCTTCTCTACCACTACGTACGTGACGGATGGGAAATACACGCAGGGAAAAAATGATCTTCTACCCCTTTAACATTTACAAATTTTGTAAAAGGAAAATGAGAGAAAGATGCATTTTGAGGCAAGAGGATGTCTCTCTACCAGGGTAGTGCAGTTGCGTTAATTATTTTCGTTATATGGTACGATGCCTCGTTAAAGCTTTAAAAAAATGAGAAGGAAGAAGGGGCCTCTAACCAAGGGGGAGGCCAGAACTTCTCAGGAAAAAAAAGGAGGAAGTCACTGGGGGAAAAAATCGAAGGACGCATATAAATATGCAGCCTAGGCAGGGCACAATCTGGCAAAAAATTTCACGAACGATTTGACGAAAAATTTGATGAAAAACTTGCAGTGCCCATAAGTGTATTAATGGCAGCAGCGAGGAAAATAAAGATGATCAAGATGCCCAAGAAAGCAAATCAACTCGTAAATAAAAACTGTTCCCCAATTGGATAAACTATTTGGCACTTTTAAGTAGATATAAGATGATTGCATATATTTTTATTTTATGTATATTCATACGTATCCATTTCAAATGAATTTGGAAGGAAAAAAAAATTTATTAAAAAAGGAAAAGGAAACGTTTATTCGAATGGCCAAAAAAACAAAAAGAAAAAATACATGCAATATCAAGGGCTGCAGAATAGAGGAAGCAAAAAAAAAAAAAAAAAAAAAAAATTGCTGCCAAAAAATTGGAACAAAATAAAAATAGGTGGTTTTCGCAAAAATGTAGAAAAGGTCGTGTTCGTTGTTTGCATTCGTAAATAAGAAAAAATACCAATGACAAGTTTGCATGATTTGTTTATATGTACATGCAACTATGTACCTATTTACGCATAAATATAATTGCGAGCGCTGCTAGTGCAGGGCCCTTGAATAACGCAACCATTTCTTAGGGAACCCCCAAAAAAGTGGCCACCCCTCCCCTCATGGTATCCTTTTTCAAATAAATGTGACAAAAAACAAAAAAAAAAGAAACCTTGTTAACCACATTTAGACGAAACTCTGCAACAAATTTCTTCATGATGAATACTGAAAAAGGAGCAAATATTCCGAATTGACATTGCAGAAAGCTGTCTCGTGGCGTTTCCTTTTGGACGTCAAAATGAATGAAAAGGAAAAGGAGAGGCAGAAGGCCGACGAGAAAAAGTGTTAGTTTGGCTTCGACGTTTGTGTACATCTTTGCACGTGCGCGTCGAACGAAAAGGCGGCCGGAAAAGAGTTCACATTTGGGAATTTTCTTTTTTTTTTATTGCATTCTTTTTAAAAGCTGTAACGTTGCGCGTCTGCACAGACATGATGGTGATTACATTTAATGTTGTCTTCTTTTTCTTTTTTTTTCTTTTTTTTTTTTTTTTCCTCACCGGACATATGGACTACCTTCCCCCCCTATAGTAATCGACTTCGACGCGCAAAAGGCGCTGACAAAATTTGACATGAACAGCTACAATGAAGATTTTGTGGTTACAAATAATATTCTCAAATACCACATGAAGAGCATAGAAATTTATAACTACGAGAGAAATAAAATTTATGATAAGGATGAACTAAATTTATATAAAGATAAACTTATCCATAAGGACAACATCCACTATTATCCGTATGAGTTGTATTTTAACACGTACAGGAATATTTACAAGGAGGACAAAATGCTCCTCAACTTGCCCAATCGGGTGAAGAAAAAGAAGGCGAAGGAAACGGAGGAGAAGGAAAAGGAGGAGAAGGAAACGAAGGAGAAAGAGCCGGAAGAGAAAGAAACGGAGGAAAAAGAAACAGAGGAGAAAGACAAAGAAGACAACGCATCCAGTAAGGAGAATCATCCCGCGTGTGGAAAAACGAACAGGATGACAATCGTCGCCCAAGCGCAGCTGCGTTGTGGGAAATATGTACATGTGCATATCCGTATATACTCCCGCGCAGATATGAGAGGGGCCGCCCTTTTCATGTTTTTTTTTTTTTTTTTTTTTTTTTTCCCACCCCGCATAGACACATTGGAGGAAGAGCAGGGGCTAGAAGACGACTACAACTTTGATTATAACAAAAGTGAAGATGAGCTAGAGAATGAAGAAAATGATGAGAATGTCATATAATTAGGGGAATCTGAACGAGAAGGGAAATTCGCCTAACCGCTTCCCTTATTGGTGTTGCAAGTTTGCCATTCTTAAGCGCCTCAGAAAATTGCGTGCTGATCAGAATGGAAATTATTTCTTCTAAATCTTCGTAGCTGCTAAATAGGTAATTACTTACCTCGTCAGGGGAAATAAAATTAACGTTCGCGTAGAGGTACTCGTTGGTGAATTCCCGTATCTTGGGGTATCTGCCATGGGGTGAAGGAGGAATATTTGTGGAGTGGCAAACATTTTGGGATGCAGAAACATTTGCGGAAGGATAAACATTTCTGTGTCTCTTGTGCATACAGCGCATCCGCTCGCACAGCGTGCGGCCCCCGCCGCTTCACCAACCTGTGCAGGAGCATGTGCAGGACCAGGAAGAAGGCCAGCCGCTTAACATTTAAGTGCAGAGTACCACACATGAAAATATTTATTGTCAACTCGGAAATCGTTCGAACGAGCGCAAAGGTTCCGTATTTTTCGAAGGTGGAAAGGAAGAAGTTTAAAAAACAAAAGGCCGCAAAATTATTCATCAGGGAAAACTTCACAAAAGAGTTAACACTTTTTAAAAATGTCTCCAGTTGTATTAAGTTGAAATTATTCAAGTAGTATAAAATTTTAATTAAGCAAATGTTGACATATTCTAATAATTCAATTTTGTCTTGATATTTTTGTTTTATTTGTTTATTTCCCTGTCTCTTTTTTTCTTTCTTTTTTTTCTTTTCCCCTTTTAACATGCATTTCATGTCACCCCCACCGCCGCATTCTTCGTCAGTCAAAAAAATTACATTTCTGTCGAAGAATATGTTATAGTTATGAAATATATTTTTTAAAAAGTCAAACTGGTCTTCTCTTTTTTCGAGTGAAAGTATTTCGCCTAAGTTGATGTTGTGCAGGTGGAGGGCAAGTGGGGGTTCCCGCGCGCTGCTAGGGGCGGTTCCTTCAGCGGGGTCTCCCCGCGCGTCATCATCTTTATGCTTATCCGTATCCACATCGTCATTTTTATTTATACATGTGTCGTAACCACCCCCGTTGTGGCTTCTGCGCCCAGCCCTCCCCTCGTTCAACACACGGATGATCTCACCGACCTCCGCGTAGTTGCAGCCCATATAAAACTTCCTGTAGTACCTAATATACAGAAACAGGACGTCGTCCCGGATGTAGCCAAAGGTATACACATCTTTGTATCGGACGAGGAAATCGAAAAATAAAAATTCAATGGATTTCTCCCTTCCCATCTTCATCACATTCGTGTATGCATAATTGCTATACTCGGTGTGCGAGGTGTAGTAATACAGGGTGTTAAAAAAACCGCTGATGAGATAGTAATTATATTTATTTAAGAACAGGAGGTAAAAAATGTGACTGTAAAGATACGTTTCGCTATACTCCAAGCACTTAATTACGCTGATATTTTTTTTCGTCTTGTCCAACAGGAAATGGACGTCTTTTATTAAATTTTCCTCTTCGATGGATACCTTTTCTTCACTTTCGCTTAGGTTTATGTCGTCTAGGAAGTCGTTGTTGATGAGAATGTTCTCGAATTGGAGGTCTCCCCGGGGGGCGTTACCATGGGTAAAGGTGTTACCAATTGGAGCGGCCCCTCCAACAGGGTTGTAATCCCTGGTGTCGTCCGAGCAGGCCTGACCGCGCATGCGGCCCTTCCTCGTAGAAGCGAACTTGTTCTTGTGGAAAACGGAAAAGCTCGTGTACTTCAAAGCGTAGTTGTACAAATAGATGAAATTATTAATTTTGTTAAAAACAGTCTTGAGGAGCCCATACTTGTACGGGCGGTTCAGGAACAGTGTGGTGATTTCTTCTTCGTATGTGCAAGTACAGGGATTGTTGGTGGTTCCCCCCGGGGGAATCCTTAGCCTCTTCTCATTCGAATGATTGGTATACCTCACACTCGGGGCTGCCCCCCCATGGGTCTTCAAATATATCGGCTCGTAATAATCACACAAGTGGACCGTTACATTATCAAAGACATCGTGAATATTCGTGCAGGACGTCCTCAAGTAGTGATAAATGTTACGCTTACTTTTTCTAATATTTTCGTCCATTTTCTTTTTAAGGTAAAGTTCGTATGGGAAGTCATGGCAGTATTTGTTGAGAACGTTGGAGAATTCGAACGTCTCCATCTTTCCAAAGGAATCAAAAGTGGCATAATTGTACAGGTAATTCAAAAGGAATAAGCACATTTTATTTGTCCTGATATTTTTTTCGCATAATAGTTTTAGCAGCAACTGGGTTAGTATGTTTATGTATTTTTTTTTAACTTCAAAGAGGACGTACATAAGGACAACTTGGCCCTCCCCATTGCTGCTTCCGTCATCTCCATGGCTGCTTCCATCCTCTCCATTGCTACTTTCGTCCTCCCCACTGTCATCCGAGTCGAATCGCTGGTAGAAGTAATCCGGGGTGGGTTCTTCCTGCGTGTGGTTCTCCCCGTTTGTTCCTACAGCTGGGGTTAGCTCGTTCTTTACACCCCTTTGCTGCGGTTCCACGAGTACCTTAGATGTTGCCTCAGGTTCTGTCTGCCTCGCCCTGCTTCTCCCTTTGCTCCTCCTCTGTACAATTTTACCACTCCTCTTGAAAAAGTACAGCGGGTATGATGTTAACAGGAACGCGGTAAGCCCCAGACATATCTCCCTAACGAACACGTGGGAATCTCCTATGTCACTTTCGTACACATATTCCTGTAAGTAGAGAATCAATACTTTCGCTACTTTGTTAATGTTTAATGAGAGCGGAAAAACATCCTTGTTTTGTTTTTTCCCCTCCTCTATGACCTGCTCCCAGGTTATATTCTTCTTAACAAGCTTGACTTTTTCCTTCACGTAAAAGGAAGTGTTTCTTGGTTTTTCCCTTTTCTTTTGCGGAGCTATGCCATTTACTTCCACCTTTGTGTCGCATCGGGGCTTCAACTTTGTGGAATCCACTTCGCGATCACTTTCGATGGTTGAGTTGTCCCCGAAGGAAGGCCACTCCTTCCCAGCAGTCGTACCTCCACCGTCACCTTCCTCGCCAGAGTACCCATGTGCACACGCGCCACTGTATAGGCTGTCTTGCGCCCAGGATTCTCCATCCGAGTCTTCACTGCTAATGGTTATGTTGGAAGGCGAGGTGCGCCCCGTGCTGCTTTCACAGCTGTTAAGGCGGGCACTCTTTTCTGCACCTCGCCCCTTTTTGGACCTGACGATGCCCCTAAAGCTGGTAGTGCATTCCTCGTAAAGGATTAAAAACTGGGAGATGTACCTTCTCCTCAATTTGTCCACCACGTTAAACAAAGCGAGGAGGCAAAATATCTTCATGTTAAAATCAATGGGGTATAACTCAAAGTTGATTTTTTTAAAAAAAAAGGGATCATTCCGGATAGGATTATTATCATTTTTTACATTCGGTTCATCCATACTGGGAGCAGGTGAGGAGCTCATCTGATAATCCTTCTTCAGGAGAGTATTCTTTATCCTATAATAGGAGGAACACTTCTTTAAGACATAATAAAACAGTTTAATCAAGTCGGAAGCAACGTCTGGAAGGATCTCCTCGCTAACGAATAGAAGGAGAATAAAGTAACCCTTCAAATGGAGGAAATTATCCTTCTCCTTTACAATTTTCAAAAGAACATTATTGTATAGGTAATGAATGGCCTTGTTTCTTCCTAACAAATAGATGGGCATGTAGAAGAAGATCTTGGATGCTTCATATTGTATAATTTCATTGTAATGGAATAAATTATTTTGTAAAACGTCCAGAAAGAATGAGTGTGTGTTCTCCTTCACCAAGAAGTAATCACATTGGCATATGCTTTGTATCAGCAGACATATTGAATGCCGTAAAATTTCTCCCTTTTTCAATTTATATATCCTTCTTTTTTCGTTAAAAATGATAATTTCTTTTATTTCGTTTTGTAACTTTTCATCGATATGTTGCTTCAACTTTAACAATATTTTGGAAATGCATATAACCGATCCATGCTTTATGCATACATTCTCTTCATAGCTTTTTTTCACCAAGAAGGGAAGAACCACCTTTATGAAGTAGTCTCCATTGTGGGCGGAGAGATTAGCTAGTGATTCCGCTGCCAACAATCTGATATTCACATTTTCGTGAAAAAGCTTAAAGGAATATAAGTGGAAAATCACTGGGTATTTGTACAAAATGAATTTGCATACATCTTTCGTTTTTATGATGATGGATTTCTTCAAATTGATCAGTTCGCTGAAGTTGCAGGTAGAGAGGATGTCAATGTTCGCGTTGAATATGTCCTTTTTGGATTCCTCTAGAAGTTTTCTGGTATCCAAGTGGGTTTGGGCTTCTGAGAAGCCTCCTTCTTTTGCAGCGCTGCTTTCTGCCCCTCCTACACCGTTATCCCCCTGTGTTACACCGCCATACTCCTGTGCCGCGCCCCCCAGCTGCCCCTTCTGCAGCCCCTCATAGTAGGCACTTACCACATCGCCGATAAAAAACAGACTCACAAAATGCACCATATCGTTGAAGAATATCTCCCTGTTGTGGGGGGAAGAACCCGCCAAGGTATCACCCACTGAATGCCCATCAAATTGGTAAAAAAAGTTAAACTTGCCAATAAAAATCTGCAGCAGCGACATGGCAGATTTCCTCAAGTTGATATTATCCTCGAATAAAGACAGAACTATCAATTTGGTGAATATCAAGTGGAAGGAAAAAAATCGGATCCCCTTCTCATTCTGCTCATAGCGCATCTGAATAAACTTATTATACTTCAACAGACTATACAACAGAACAAATGTGCTCGCAAAAATTTTATCTTTATTTGTGTACAAACTTTCGACGATTTTCCGAAGAAGGAAGTTAATAATTTCTGTGCAGAGGGTTGTCTTTCCAAAGAGGTAATGAAATAAGGTGTAATTAATGGTGCACGAAATGTTGTACTCCTTGTATTTGGCTAGCTCGTTGAATTTTGTTATGATTAAACGCACGTTTTGCATGCTCAGATGGGATAATATGTTTCCGAAGCTTTTGGAGAGGCACCACCGAATGTAGGTACTACTGTCGTTAAAATAGTACAACAGGAGGTTCAATATTTGTAGGATGTCCTTTTCGCAGGTATATTTTTTCTGTGCATTTGTGGGAATGACTTGTTCTTCTCTTTTGGGCTGTGGACTCCACCCCACCTTGGTCTCCTTCTGGTACATGGTGAACACCTCGTTGATGTTTAAGAAGAGAGGGAATTTCTCGAACAGGTCGGAGTGAAGCGGTGAGGGGGGCGGTCCCCCCTGGGAAGACGCCTCATTATTAGCAGCCTCATTATTAGCTCCCTCCCCATTATTAGCCGCCTCCTTATTATTAGTAACCTCCCCATTATTAGCTTCCTCCCCCCTTGGCAGCGCCATTCCGGCAGGTTTCTCCAAAAATAACAAGGCGTAATAACCGAGGCAAAGAATCTTCAATGCCTTGGACATCTGCGTAAAGTCCAAACGGGCATGATTTTGAATAAAAAAAAAATTATAAAAATTGGTGTAATTTTTTAACAGCCTTTTCTCACCACTTTTCAGCAACCTTTTATGAGTCAGTAAAATTCCGCATAAAACTAAATTGCTGAATTTGACGCAACAGTTGGGGGAACCAATGTTTGCACTTGTCACTACAAAGAAGTCATCCTGAAGTTGTGTTTTTTTCTCAGCTAAGGAGTCTATTTCCACCAATTTTATCATAAGTTCTTTGGAAAAAAGAATAAAGTTGGTGAAGTAAATTTTCTCTTTATGCACATCGTCCCTCCTTAAAAATTGAGCATACAATATAGAACATGCTTCCTTCGCTTTGTCGTTCTTCCCCACGTAGTAGTAAAATATTTCTTCAATGTTGATTAGTATATTCCTACTGACAGACAGTAGGTTAAAGGGGATGTACATGCAGAATGACAGCCATATGAGTAGGATGTACAAAATTACCCACGCGTTGTTTCCATCGTCCATTGTATTTGACTTAAAGTTCGTCAGCTTCTTAAAAACGAGTTCCTCTTCTTTCAGTTTGAGCAACAGGTCCACTATATTGCTTAAGCAGAATGAGTCACATGGAAATAGAGTTTTAATTTTTTTTTCCCCCCTCACGGATATCAGTGTGTTGTAGTATTTGTATACCTCCTCTATCACTGTGTACATCTTCAGGTGGGTTTCTTCTTCCTTCGCCTTCGTGTCATCTAAAATTTTGTTACTCTGTCCGTTCTGTTCCCTTTCGGCGTGACTTGCACGGCCGTTTTCTATTTCCCCGTTTGACTCCATGCGCGTCTTTTCCTGACCGTTTCTACTCCGACCCATTTGCTTTTCCCCTTCTTGGCGACCTCCCACATCATTTGAAAGTGGCCTTTCGCCAGAAGCTACCCTGCTGCTTATCTCGTCCCGACCTCCATTTGCTTCCCCTGATTGCTTCTTAAAATAAGATAGAATCCTTGCCAACCGGGTGAAGCTTCTCTTTAAAAAGTCTAAAAATGGCTCCACCAGCAGAGTCAGGTGCGGGTCCAACACCGTTTTGGCTTCCCTATAGCTATTCAGGCAATTGTTTAAATAATTTAAATTTTCCAAAATGGGGGTCAAATTTTTTATCACTTCGTTATCGTCATCCTGGTCAAGACACCGTCTTACCAATTCTACTTTCTCTTTGACGTTATCATACTCGCGAAAAAAAGATATTTTGTTTTCCATCGTTTGGGTGTGTGTACAAGCGTGGGGAGAGAAAAACACATGACTACTCTGATGGGCTACTTCTCCCCTCGCAACGCGTTATGTAGAACTTAATGGGCAAACTCACGCGCGGCATATAAACTATGATAGGAAAAAAAAAAAAAAAGAACCTGTTGAAGGCATCCCTTCGAAAGTGTTCCAACGGCCACACAGGTTACCACCGTTTGGGCGGTTAAGCAAATTTTTTCCTCAACGTCATTGATAGGCAGTCTCCGCGAAAAAAAAAAAAAAGTTCAGCAACTTCACATCGGCCAGGTGCATGTAGTGCCTGTGCAAATGCGTACATTCGCCGGATGATATTCAGCCAAGAAAAAAATAAAAAAGAAATAGAAAACTATATCCGCATGGGGGAGGCAAAAAAAAGAAAAATATACCTACATAGGAGTAGCCAAAGAAAGAAATAGCAGCACAATATTCGGAACAGCTTTACCCACGCAGTTTTCTCACCCACGAACAGTTTGACGCAAAAATAATGTCCGACTCGGTGATACATTATTTTCCCAAGTTTGAGAAGAAGCCGGATATGCGCGAGAGCTTGTTCTCAAGGAGGAATAGAAAAGGTACTACATGGGGAGCACACAGTTCATTCGAGCCTACGGATGGGAATAGGTCTCTCCATAGCGAAAAATTAGGCAAAAGTATATGTTGTAAAATATAGAAGCAGACGTACTTCTTATACGCCGCATGTGTATATATGTTTCCATCCTTGAGAGATTCTGAAAGAGGAGTCGAAGTTTTTGTGAATCCTGTCAGATGTGTACATGTGTTTCTACCCGACTTGCTTTCCGTTCCAACGCACGCGCTGCGTATGTCATTGTGGCACGTGCGCCCAGTACATGCCTTCGTATGTACCCCTCGGGTCGCCCCTCCTATGCATACTACATATGTCCTCCTCGCCGAGCAGTCAAGATCGCCTTTAAAAGCATTAGCGGAACGGCCGTTTTGAAAAAAAACAAAATACTTATTAACGGAAATGAAACCCTCGAATCTGTCCTGAATTTCCTCAAGAAAGTTTTTAACAGAAATGAACACATCGTAAGGAACGCGCCTTCAGGGAGGAGGCTCATAGCCATAAAGATGTTGATACGACTATTCGTTCATCCTTTCTAAACATGGTGTGTAATTATAAGTGCCCTTTTTGGAAAAAAATCATTTTTATTTCCCGCCCCCGCTTTTTTTTTTATTGCAGTATCTATATATTAACAACACGATAAAGCCAAACCTCGATGATTTCCTTGCCGATCTCTTCGATGTAAACCGCTATAAAAAAAAAATCCGAGTGGAGAAAGTACCAGGTGCATACACTGCAATTGTGTGTGCGTGTATATATATGTAGTGCCAAATGTAACCCCACCGTAATGGTACATGTAGGCGTGCATTCCCTTTCATCGAACCGTTTCCCTCCTTTTTTTTTCTCTTTTCAGCTGTATCAAGTTTCGAACTGTCTAAACATCTCTTATAGTTTTACCCCCGCGTATTAAGAGGTAAGGGGAGAAGTGAGCATACACGAGGGAGGTGGGCACGGCACAGAAAAAAGGAAAAATGCCCGCCTCATCGTGTAAAGGAGACTACATAAGTGAGTCTGTTCTGCAGACATGTAGAAAGACGTACTTATGTGGTCACTCCCTCCTGGTGGGCTATTTAAAAACAAACGGAATAGCTGCACAGACAATGGAAGGAAATTTGTGGAGGAGCCTTACACAAAGCTTCTTCTTTGCCTAGGCTTATGTTCCGTGGGCCATTCGATGTGTTTGAGAACAAGGAAAAAAAGGGAGTGCAACTTTTCTCGTTACTGTGATGAATTCCCCCCCTCCACGTCTTTTCTTTTTTTTTCTCCCCTCTGTGTGTGTCATCCATTTTCATTTCTTTTTTTTCCCTGTTGTTTCCCCCCCTTGCTCATATTTTTACTTAAATTGTATTTACTGGAGAAGCTGACGATTTCTCCATCGCTACTTCCGCCGCAGCTACTGCTGTCGCTGCTAAGAGGGTTTTTATCACTACGCTTATTAGGCGAAAGCAACGGGTTAGTCCCCCCCAAATTTGCACTTTTTGCGTTCTTTGCACTGTTGGGTACGTTCGAATAATTGGGGCTTTTTTTACGTGTGCCCATTTTTCTGCTCAGTCTATAAACTTGGGAGTTAAAAATGACATCCTCCAGCTCTTTGCGTTGTTCCTCCTGTTGGCTTTCCCTATTCCGTTCATTCATCTTATGATTATTTTTTTTTAAACTTTTAATGTTATCAATATATTTTTTAATTTTTTCTTTATTATTTTCTTGTTCCTTTTCTAAGATTTGGATTTTATCCTTCAAGTGAACTATTTTGGCACACTGTTGTTGTATTTTCTTTTTACAGTTTTCGTTTTCTTCCATTTTGTCCCTTACGACTTTGTTCAATTTTTGTGTCTTCTCTTCCAGTGCCGTAATTTTGCTGTCCTTCGTGTTTATATGTTCATTTATTTCGTCTTGTTTTTTTAAATTATTGGTTACGTCCTGTTTATTTTTTGCATTTTCGTTCCGCAGAAGTGTGATTTGTCCCCCCAGCTCTTCTATTTTTCCATGAAGAACATTTATTTGTTTGTCTCTTTCCTGTAGCTCTTTCAATAAATTGTCTTTTTCGCATTCCACTTGAAAGATGTGCGCACTTTTGCTTGTCCCCTCCTGTTCCAGTTTGTTTATTTTATCCTCCAGTTCGCTTTTTTCCTTTTTCCGTTTGCTTATTTCCTGCACGAGGCATTTCTCATTTTGCTTTAATTTCGCGATGTCCTTTTCCCTCTCGCTGCACATGCACTGCAGTTCTTTGCACTTTTTCACGAAGTTGGAGATCTGAGGGGTGAGAAGGAAACATGTGTGTCAGTGGAGGTATGTACATCATTGGACCGACATGTGGAAGTGTGCGTATGTCTCCATGTTTGTGACTATGTCTGCATACTTATGAATATGCCCGCCCCGGCGAATGCTCCCACCTGGGAGGAAAAGGCCTCGTTCTCCTGTCGCAGGCTTTCTATTTCATCCTTATTTTGGAGCAAAACTAAATTCAGCTCCTTTATTTTGTTAATTATGTTGTCCTCCTCTCGAGCAGTTCCATTTTTGCTCGCCTTCACAAACGAATTTCCGCTGCTGTTGTTGCCATTGTTGTTGTTGCTGTTGCTATTGTGGATGCTGCTATTGTTGACGCTGTTATTTCTGATGCTACAATTGTTGCTGTCTCTTTTTGTGTGCACTTGCTTCTTTTCTTCTGCGAGTGTGGAAATAAGCAGAATATACGTGAGTGGGGGAAAAACACATAATGTAGTGTAAACTCTCCGCACAGCCAACACGTGGGGATTATTTTATATATTTTTATTTTATTTTTATTTTATTTTTATCTTATTTTTATCTTATTTTATTCTTATCTTATTTTTATCTTATTTTTATCTTATTTTTATCTTATTTTATTTTTATTTTTATCTTATTTTTATCTTATTTTATTTTTATTTTTATCTTATTTTTATCTTATTTTTATCTTATTTTATTTTTATTTTTATCTTATTTTATTTTTATCTTATTTTATTTTTATTTTATTTTCCTATTATTTTAGTTTTATTTTAATTTCTTTTACGCCCTTGGCGCTACCATTGCAGCGTTCTGCCTAACTTTTTCCAGGATACTCTGGATTTGAGGAGCCTTTTTTTTTATCTTTTAATTTATTCATTTAAATTGAGAAAAGAAACATAACTTTGTCCTGTCGTGCCTATACTCGAAAAATGAACTATCAGGAATGCCTCCACAAGTTTGTTAATGCGCATTCGGATAATTTTCGGCAGAGTTTTTACGCCGTGGTGGAGAGTTCACAGGTGAGAAGTAAACTGACAAGGGGATAATAGGGAAGAGTTTCTCCTACATAATTGTGTGCATGCAAAACAAGGGGTAGACCCACAACATTTCACTTTAGTCGTTAACGTTCTTCATTAAAAGGTCCCCTTTTTTCGTAACGTGTCTGCCTTATGCTGTCTTCTTGGGATATGCCCCATTTTGTGTTTTTTTTTTTTTTTTTTTTTGCAGATAGAATGTCTTCAATGTCCCATAGAAAAAACGAGTACGGATAATTTCCTCATCAAAATATACATTAACAATATTGTAAGTTAAAGAAGATCACACGGATAATTGCCCATGTGAGGGTGGATGCCTTCCGCCGTGCGTGGAGTGCACGCCTTGTGGTGCGAATGAGCGGGAAGGAAGTTCACTCCGAAATGAAAATAATTGAGGGGTGTTTCTCTTTACGCGCATTTTAACTCACTTCTTTCATTTTGGCTGTTTTGTTTTACTCATTAATTTATTTTTTCCGCCAACACACAGATACACAACCTCCGGACGTTCCTTCTGACTTGCTTGAGCCGGTCGGTGGGGAATATTCTCCATAACACGAACGTAGACAAGCACGAAGCGTGTTCCTACCTTGCTGCAGACGACGAGGGGGCCAGCCACGACGGACAAGGGGGACCAACCGGGCACGCAGGCCAATCTGTTCAATCGGACGAAGGTAGCCAAAATGGCCAAAACTCCGCCAAACAGTGTTTCAACAAAAAGGAGGATTTTTTACGCAAGTGCAAGAGAGTTCATAGACTTCGGAAGAGTTTGGAAAATGCCCACGTAAGAACAGGGGACACTTTCGGCTTTAGGGACGACGTTTTGCGGCACTACATATGACGGTTCGTTTTCGTGTGTAGTTTTGGACTCTCCGTTCGAGGGCTCCCTCAAGGGATGAAAAGAAAAAAAAAAAAAAAATACACGCATTATGCATGATGCAATATTACTGCGTATGTGTACACATCGGATGTTACTTAGGGAGCCTCAGCCAATTCATGAAGAGAAACATCCACGTGTTGCGCGACATTCCGAAGCGGAGCCTAGACTGTTTTTTTCTTTTTGGTGGAAATGTACACATCCTCGAGGCGGTAATTCATGTACTTCTTATCCATCTCCTCATCCGTCCTCCTCTCGAAATTGTAATTAGACGTAATGTTAAAATTCATCATCTTATTAACACAGTCGTAAAACTTTTCCACATTACGCACAATGCTGGAAATTTTATTGTTTAGTAATTCCCCAAAAGATCGCGAACTGTAAATCTTGCCATTCAAAATACAGAACATCTGAATAACCTTTTTGCAGATAATATTCTTCACTTTATATTTATGTGTTAGGGAAATGTGAAAAATGGAATTTGTGTTGTAATAAATGTGTATGCTGACCGGATCATGCGGCTCATTCTTTTTTAAAACAGCTAAATTGTCGTAGGTGATGTCAAATAAGTATCCATCGTCGTCATCATTGATTATTCTCCCCACTCGTATTTTTTCATTTAACGAGAGATGACTTCTACTTGTGTAAAATGGACAAGTGTAAAAATAATTCAATGCATTTTCTCTATTATTCAATATGTTCTTGGATAAATATAGGTTATCAACGTATTCGATTTTGTTTTCCTTTTTAACCACTGGTTCGTAGTACTCCTCCGGAGCAGCCATTTCGGTTCTTCCGTTGGCCGCGAAGAGGACGGGGCAGTCAGCCAATCAAATCAGTTAATCACCTGATGAGCTAATCACCACCTTAGCAGGTTATTCGACCACCTCTTTCAGCAGCAGACCCGTGTATGTTCACACGCATACATATCTGTGCATGCACATTTCTGGCACAATTGACCATATTGCTTGCATTTCCCCGCGGGTTCAACCTTCACTTGTCCTAAATTTTGCATAATAATATAGGCGTTGTTCCGCTACTCCGAAAAAGAATTTTTTTCTTTATCCTTTTTCACGAATGTGTATTTCCCCTTGTTAAAAAAGTTTCAATATGGTACTTATCGCATGTGCGGTATACATGTACACGCAAACATAACCCTTGAATTCATTCAAAAAAAAAGAAAAGAAAAAAAAAAAAAGAAATGGTCGAGGGTTTCACTCTCCCTTTTTCCTGCGAATGCTTAAGCGGAGATGATACTCCCACGTACGCACGACTCCACAGTTGAGGAAAGGAAACGGAGCTCATTCGGTATGGACAATCTTAGGCAAAGGTATCGGCGCGCCTCTTGAAAAGGAATCCCCCCAATTGGTTGGAAAAAGGAGAAGCAAAATATGTATCTCCCCCCCAAATGTAATTAGTTGTTCCCTTCTTAGTTTTTTCCTTTCTTTTTTCTTTCTTTTTTTTTTTTTTTAATGCTTTCCCCTACATCTGTGTATTTTGCCCCGTTTTTCCCCCCACGGCACAAGCCAAATGGTATGAAGAGACGACACTATGATCGATCCAACAATGTCATTGCTGTGCATCAGAAGGAAAAAAAAGAAATAAAATAAAAACCGAACAGATAAAACCAGGATAGCGAAAATTACAGCAGTGTAATCCTGTACAAGGGGCGATGAGATTATTTTCTCACATGTCGCTTCGTTAAGTTTCCGGAAAGAACAATTTTCCATCCTTAAGTTATTCCTCCCGAAGAAAGGAAAAATCTGTACGGACGGCAAACCAAGAAGAAACAACGTCGGCACGGGAACTGATTAGTTACTTCCAATAAATGTGCTAATTGTTCACCGTTCCTCTGCCAGCATCTTAACGTACAATCCCGGCTGTCACCTAAGGGACAATCCACTGTTAACGCCATTTTCAATTTATCTCTTTTCAGGTGCAGGTCTACGCTCCTGTGCGATCAAGCAGCTCACCCGTTTGCTGACTTTATTTTTTCTTTTCCACTGATAAAATGTGTAGTAATACAGAACAGTAAAAAAAAAAAAAAAAACAGCAATAAAAAAAACAGCAATAAAAAAAACAGCAATAAAGACTACAAATAGAGAAAAATTAAATTAGTGTTAATCGCTACTTTTTAATTACATATCTGTTAACAAATGTTGAAATGTACTTTTCGCAAAGTGCTCGCGCGGAGGCTGAACTGCAAAGAGCGCATATTCATGTTTACACATAGGTGCACATCCGCAGCGCACTTCGAACTACGTATCTCTCCGCCGCGCAACACTTTGCCGCTTTCCTCCCCCCCCAGTTCATCCGAAATGGTTGGAGATAAAACCATACAGCCACGAATGAACGTAAAAATGGGCACAATAAAATGTAACCCTGAACAGGCAGAATAAAGTGGCACACTAAACGGGCACAGTAAATGAGCGCAATAGAATTAACACAAACACACATCCAGCATGTGCGTTTGCCTAAGTAAAGGTGACATTCGGGGGGGAAGAAGGCGCGCAGAATTTAAGAAAATGGCGGAGAATAAGTAAAAAGACGAGCAATATATAGCCAAGAAAAACACAACATAACAGTTGTTAATAAAAAAGGGAAAATGACAAATGGGGTGGAGAGGGAAAAAAGGCAGATAAGAAAAGGCAGATAGAAAAATTCTTATCTCAAAAGGTAGTGGCAAAATATGCTGCTTGAAAATCCTGTCGATGGATGGTCTTGCGTGCCGCCCTACTCGTGAGAACTTAGCTTGCTAAAGAGTTCCCTTCTCAGTTGAGGAGGCAACCTCTGAAAGGCCTTGTAAAACTCATCCAGTGTTTTCTGGTGGTGCAGATCCTCCGTTAATCGCTCTATATCCCTCAGAGTGCTTTCATTTAAAATTCTCCTGCACACTTCGTAGTCGTCTTCGTCCGAGGAGGCGATGTCACTGGTGAGTTTCTTGAATTCTTCACATTGGGTGAACGCAGTTCCGTATTTTTTGCTAAAGGGATAGGAATCGGGCAGTCAGTTATGCAGTTGGGCGGCTAGTTATGCAGGCGGCATGCATCTACATACGCATAAAGACAGATGGGCAGATCCGCAGATGCACACCCGTGTGGAAGTTTCATTTCTCCCGTAGAGGAGCCTACCTCAGCGTGCTCATCAGCAGCCGTCGCACGAGGCGATAGTAAAAGAAGGAACGGGCTTTCTCCCAAGGAACGATTTTCCTAATCACTCCCTTCGACTTCATGCATTTAGACACGTCGTGAAGATCTGCGTATCTGTGACAAACTTGCAAATAAAATGGCAACAGCTCCTTTTCCTTGTCCTCTATTTGTTTCTTTATTCTAGACACGTCATCCTCCTGCATTGGGGTGGTAATAAGTGATTGGTGAGGAGTGCAGGTGGGAACGTGGTGATGGGCGAGAACGGTGTTCCACTAGGCCGCTCGACCAACACGATGAAACCTACCTGCGCTTCCGCCAGCTGCTTGTCCAGAGAAATTATGGACGAGTCAATCCCATGCATCAGCTTCCTAATTTCGGGTAACCTGAACTTCACCTCGACAATTCCGGGTGGCTCCAAAATGCCGCCTTTACTGTTCGTGTCCGCATACATCTCGATGATCTGGCTATTTAGCGTCTCGTCCACAACAACCCAGGACCCACCTCTCAGCTCCCCCCAAATTGGAATGTAGACAAAAACGGCGTGTTTGTAATTAACAAGCTGATTAACAATCATTGACCCGAATTTTAAAACGCTGTTAAACATATCCATTGTGCCACCTGAGAATCCCCTCCAATTGGCAAAAACGAATAGGGGTAGATTTTCTTTATTAAAATCTTCAATCGACTGAGCTGTTTTGTATGAATTGTCTGGGAAGAAAACACATGGTGCGTGTGTTGACCTCACTGCTTTGGTCTTCAATGCTGGGTCGCACGGAACAACCTGCGTCACTAAATTTCTATTAACAGCTATTACTCCTACGGGGATGGAACCCAATTTCCCCCTTCCTGTTATTATCCCTTTTCCCCATTCATTCATGTATTCAAAGTAGCTATTTTTGTCTAAAAATCCCTGCTTCGTGTTTGTGCCTCTTATCAGATCTACTACATCTGCGTTTTCTATGTTATCCATGTCTATGTCATTAATTCTTTGGAAGTACATTTCTGGCGGTTTCCTCTTGAATGTGGGTTTGTTCTCCGACTGGGAAGCTTCCCTTTCGACGGTGTGTACCTGCTCCCCATTAGCCTGCTCATAATTGCTAAATTCACTTCTCTTCTCTCGCGCCTTCTCAATAACGTCATAGTAATGGTCACTTGTTTTCGGCACATAGGATAGCCACTTGAAAATTTTGTCGACACCATCCTGATCATTTTGAGCTTCCAATTGAGATATGCCATTCCTCAACATAATTTTGACACCTCCCAATTGTTCATTGCTGATGTAGACCTTTTCCCCTAATATTTTATTTAGCGCGTTAAACCCTGTTAGTAAAAGAGAAGAACCTTTTTTCTGGATGGTTCTTTTCCCGAGTCTAACAAGGTAAGCACCGATGCCAACACTTCTACCAGTAACATAGGATAGGGTAAAAATCTCATCATACGCTTTGGATGTTTCCCCAGCAATAAGACCACTCCCCCGTAGATTTTCCACTCCAATATGATTATTTAAGTTCCCTACTATACCTTCGATTAGGTATCTTTTTTCCCCATTTTGAAGAATTTCCTTCAAAAATATGATGTCTTCCTTGGCTATCCTATTTTTCACCTCTTCTGTTATGTAAATGTAGTCATACCCGAGTTCCTTCTTTTTTTCGTCTTTCCAACTGACTTGAATTTTATCCATCAGAAAAGGGTAGAGCCCAATTCTTGCACCTGAATTGCACGATATGTAAATGCGCGGAATTTTTTTCTCCCTGGCGTAGCTAGATATGGCGTAAAATAACTGGTCTTCCACGACACTAAATGAGCCACCATGCGTCGTTATGTCATTTATGATAAAAATTACGTCCCTTCCTTCTTTGTATTCGATTGTCCTCACGTTCATCAACAGGCCGATAACGCTCAGTTTGTTTTGGCCCACATTAAGCTTGTCTGACAAGTAGAGCGCGTTTCTTATCTTCACTTGTTCTGAGCTGAGGCCGTCGTGCGGGGGAAGAAACAGCCAGTCGGAATGGGAAGCGAGATGGGAAGTAGCATGTGACGTGTCCTTCTCATCCATATGGGGCGTGTCCTGCTTCGCGGTGTTCCCCTCTGCCGTGCGATCTCCCCCCCCCTGTAGTGCCTCCAAGTCTAGCTTAAACTCCCTGACGCTGTTCACATAGGTGAATAGATCCTCGGGGTCGCCCAGGTTCATCCTGTTTAGGGAAATATTTATAGCCTTGACAAAATCGTAGGCATATAACGTATCTATATCTCTAGCCCTCTTTCTTTTTAGGTACAACGCGTCAACATCAAAGGGGGGAACACTTTCAACCTCTTCGATTACATTATTTTCTCCGTCGAAGAGCACGTGCAGTCTGAGTATTTTCCTCGGTGTCAACTTGAGTCTCCCCTTGGAAGATTCACCTCCCTTTCTGTACACACATATGTATACATCGTTGACGTAATTTTCTAGAAGGAGCTCGTTATGCCTATTGAGGAAGTTCTTGAGTGCCTCTTCAATTGTATTTAATTGGTCTTTGTCCTTGTCTTCATCTTCCCCTTTCCGTTTCTTTTCATCGAGTACTACATGGTACGTTATGTAGCTGCTCACCTTTGCGTCGTGCACTTTCGGGTTCAGTCTAGCTATTGTTATATCGTTGACCGCTTCTGTGAACTCTTCCGTGAGTGCCTCTTGCAGCCGCGTCTGTTCCATCACAGGGGGTAGGTGTTGCTCCCCCATGGTGTTCCCCCCTTTTTTGGGAGTTTCCCTCACTAGAGACATTCGACCCTTTGGAAACTCACCCACATGGATCACCCTCTCTGCAAACAGCGATTCAATTTTGTTATTCTTTTTGTACCTCCCCAGGAATACCTTGGTTTCGTTAAATATTTTCTCATCTACACTTTCCAGGTCATAATTTTGGCAGCTCTGTTCAAAGGAGAAGATATATCTTTGGTAGGGCAGCAGATTTGTGCGTCGACCCGAATAGATCTCCTCCCCGCTGTCATCCTCTCCAACCCATTCGTAAACATCCCCGTATCGCTCCCCAAAATAGTGATAAATGTACAGATGTTTGCACTTATTCTTTATATGTCCTACACTTGCTTCATAGTCATTAGGGAAGCTCTCATTTGTGTTAATAATATGAATGCTGTTTATTCGTCGATCAGTGGGATTGATCCCCTCTTTGGCAATCAAGTCATCCACATGTACCATGCTTTTCTCATTTAGGATGAGTAAATGTTCTTCCTCCGAGTTGTTTATGAAAAATTTGAGGCAGTCGTCCCCCACTAGTTCTGTCTTGACATCAAAGTGTTTATACAGATTATGAGCGTATATTTCTAGCAGAGCGTTTTTATTTTCTGGGGTAAAGAGCGATGGAAGGAACATGTGCACGTCTGAGGGGCTTCCCAAAAATGTATTCACTACACGTTCGCAATGGTTCCTATAGCTGCTCGAAGTAGAGGAGGGCATAGATGCATCACTTGGAAGTTGTCCCAATCTTGAATGTGTAATGAAGCGCTTCTTTATCTTTATGTTCTCCTCCAGTTGCTTAATTTTCTCACCAAAATTGGCATTCCTATCGTTTAATGCATCCTTTACGAATTTCACCAAGCGCATATGTTCCGCGATGTGTACTATCGCCCTGGCGAGAAGGATGATGTTGCCGAAGGGTTTCCCTCTAAAAGATGTTATCTTTTTTAGTCTCTCCAGAAGGTCCTCTGGCATCTCACTCAGCGAGGTGAACCCACTGTCTAGTAGGTATTTTAAAACTAGCTCAACAAATTTTATGCTCAAATAGTTGTACGTATACGCATGTGCAATTTCATATTTTTTTTTCTTCTCATTCGTGATTCTGCTGTGCAAAATATCGTAAGCTTCTACCTGTGTGATGTTTTCTTTTTTGGCAAATAGCGAATTGTACTCTATAAATTTGTCCAGGATGTAAATAAAGTTAGCGTTAATGTTGTTTTTCTTTTTCTTCTTAACTAATTCGTTGAAACATTGCTGATAATCCTGCTCATATCCTTTTAGTAAATATTCCACTCTCTTCATATTGGGGATGTCTAACAAGAATTGTTTTTTTCTTGGCTCCTCGCCGGTTCTCGGGTGATCACTCGGAGGACCATTCGGAGAAGTCACCCCCGGGGTGTCCCCCCCCACTTGTGTGCAACTGTTCGAGGTGCAATTAGAAGAAGTGGCTTCTGATGTACTTTTTGACGCACTTTTTGATGATGCACTTTCCGAGGCACTTTTCCATGCCCCCTTATTATCGATGTCCCAGCTGAGGGTGCCCGCGTTGGACGCCTTCTCATTGGAGATATTCCTCGTAGACACAACTTCGCTCGACACATTGTCGTTACGGTCTGTCCTCTCGCTCGGTGAAGAGTTTTGGCAGCTTGCGTTAAGACCAGTGGATATGTTCCCCAGGCTTCCACTCCCCAGGCTGCTACTCCCCTGGTTGGCACTTCCCGACTCATCATTCACCGGGTGCGCAGTGGATGAGACATTCGCGCACTCCCTGGATTCAGAATTGGCGTAGGACTTGTTCGACTGTGCAACTGCATCGGCTTCCTCCTCTCCTATCTGCGCGGCTTCCTTCATATCTGCCTCCACCTTGACCTTCGTGTTGGCACTCGTGGGTGCCGCCGAACTCGCGCTGGACGAGCTGAGACTAGTCAGGTACGCCTTGACGGAGTTAAATTTTTCGTTCGCGTAACTCACTGCAGTGTGCTCTTTTTCATCACTGGCCTTTTTGCTCGCAAATAGGCGGAATATGTTTTTCCTCTGCTTTAGGAATAGCCTATTTTTTGTGATTCCTTCCCTGGATGACGTTTCTTCCTGTTCAAAGGAGGAGAAGGACGAGGAATCCTTCGACTTGGGGGCATCCACCACGTGTGTGTCCCCCGTATTTTCACCCAGACGATGTCTTCTACTTGGCTCATCGTTTGGCACAACCCTCAGTGTCTCTTCCTCGTCACGGTATGTAGCCCCCTTATGCAAATGACTTTTACCCCCGTTTTGATCGCTAATCGGCCAGGCACCTTCCGCAGACTCATCCATGGCGACAAAACCGAGGGGGACTTCCTCCCCCTTAAGGGGGTGCGGCAGTGGACTCGGTTCCTCCAACTCGTATGCGTACTTATTGGATAAGTCCAAATGCCCAGTGAAGGTTTTAATTTGATTTTGCTCTCCTCGCTTGCTGCTGCTATCAGGAGAGGTTTCCTCAATCACTCCCAGGAGGTCCCCTACTTTTACGATGGTGCCCTCAGACATCCTGTGCCTGAGTATACCCTTTTCTGTAGACTTAAAAGTCATAATCATTTTCATGGCCTCGACTTCTATGTAGTCCTCATTCTTCTTTACCTCCTCTCCATCCTTTATCAAATATTTTACAATTTTCCCATTCGTATTGGACACCAAATGAAATGGGTTACACATCTTGGGGATAAAAACACTGTCCTTTTCGAGATGCATGTGGATGCCTAAGCTGTCTTCCGAACATGTATACAAATAGGTGTGGTTCAAAAAGCTAGCAAATATTTTATTGTCCTTTTTGTCGTAATTAGCTAGCACTTCGATTTCCTGTTCGTTAATTTTTAGAGTATAAAGATTCTCCCCTGTATTATGGGCCTTAAAATTGTACCTGACATTTTCGAATACTATGTCGAACGTGTACGCATTTTTTACCTCCCTCTTCAGATTAGCGAAGGCATCATCTTCCTGTGGTTTAATTCCAATGTCCTCTCTACTGAGCGCATCTTCGATATCCTCTTTTTCCTTCGTAAAATGAATGAGCAGTTTAAAAATCGTTGCACACAAAATGATTATATGTACTGCGTTGTAATAGATATTTTTTTTCTTTTCAATAATTGTGTCCAACCAATTTGTCGTTATGTTGTTTTCAATAAATGGTTTACATTCCAGAATCTTCGCTAAGTATTTTGTCCCTGTTTTTATTTCCCCCTCTATGTTTAATTTCCTTAATGCGAGGATTAGATTTTTTCTAGCTACTTCCCTCGTTTCTCCTTTTGCAAAAATGTGGCCAATTTGCGAATCGGAGAATTCATGCACGGATCCATCATCGATTGAGAAGTATCCCCACACATCGTTCGAGTTTTGGAAATGAATTCTTTTTACCTTTCCTGAAGTGGGCTTAAAACTGTCGTTGCTATTTTCTGCAGTGATTCTGGCGGCAATCACGTGGTTGCTCACGTGCGGCCTGTTATTGTAGAAGTCGAATGGATGCATCTCTTCCTCTCTGGGGGGTGGGAAGTCCTCAGTTTGGTCTCTTCCCTTCTCGATGCCGCCTAGGGCCGGATTGCACGTCTCCGCGCGGGCGCCCTCCTCCCCACAGAAAGGGATGTTACTATCACTACGGCGGCTACTACCGCGGCTACCACCAGTGCTGCTCTCCCTTCTGACGCTTCTACTCGGGCTGTACTCGCAGGCGGCACCGAACCTGTGAGCGGCCTCCACAGGCGCACGAAGACTCGCCCCCCCGCCCCATTCCCCTATGCGATACAACCTCCTAATGTCGTCTATATTCTGAAGGGGAATTCCCATGGCGACCTGTAGCTGTATCGAAATAAGATTCGTGTTGGTGATGCCCTCGGACACGGGGTGTTCCACCTGCAGCCGAGGATTTAATTCGAGAAAAAAATATGTCTGCTTCTCCTGGTCATACAAATACTCAATGGTTCCCGCACCTCTATATTTTATCATCTTTGTTAGACGTATGGATGCCTTTTCCATTTCACGGAAAATATCTGGAGGTACAACTGACGGGGGCCCTTCTTCAAAAATTTTCTGGAACCTCCTCTGTGTCGTGCAGTCTCTTCCACTTAGGGAGCATACATTTCCATACATATCCCCGACAACTTGTATTTCGATGTGTCTAACATTGCTACAGACTTTCATTAAAAAGATTGGCGAGTTGGGTAATTCTATCTGTACTTGTGCGTAGGCTTTCTCTATTTCTGCTTCGTTCTCCACTTTCCGGATCCCTTTCCCCCCTCCTCCTTGAGATGCTTTTATCATAACAGGGTACCCAATCCGTTGGCACTCCTTAATGCACGCATCTAACGAATGTATCGTCGATTTATTGTATACCTCTTGAGTAATTTTCTTGTCAAAGTTATCAACACGGATGGTATCTCCACTCCACTTTACCACTGGTACGTTTACACTTTGTGCGAGGATATTGGCAGATATTTTGTCTCCTAGGGCTTCCATTACATCTCCTGTTGGCCCTATAAAGATGATGTTTTCTCTTTCCAGCATGGTGGAGAGTAGCGGATTTTCTGAGCAGTGTCCCCATCCTGGCCAGACGGCATCCACTTTTTCCTTTTTTGCTATATCCACTATTAGCGGCACATTGGCGTAGTTATTGATGTTCTTCCCAGGAGGTACCTTTATAACTTTGTCGGCCAACGAAATGTATTTTGCATTGCTTGATATGTCTTCTTCTGTGGCTAGCACTATGATCTGCATTAAGTTTTCCTCGGAGAAGGACTTAAATAGCCATTCCTTTATTGAAAGAATGCACTTCGTTGCTGCCATGCCATTATTTGCAATTAGTAATTTTTTTATTATCTTACCATTTTTATATTTTAGGAAATTAAAATATGGGTACCTTCTCTCTTCGATGTATCTTATATATTCCTGATGGGCCTTTTCCTTTGCCCTTTGTTTTTCTTCGTACGTTAGGAAGTCGGTGGAGTCGCTCGGATGACTGGCAGGAGAAGCAGTATCAATCCCATTGTGATGCGAACTCTGCGCCTTGGTACGGTGCGCCCTTCGCTGCAACAGGTTTGGTTTTATTTGCCGTATGGGAGAGTCCCCTACTGGGACGAGGCACACATCATTGGGGTTGCCACCTGCATGGTTATCTCCCCGATAAGCGTAGAACCTCTCTCCACACTCATCACCCCCACGGGTACCCCCCTCCTTTCGCGAGAGAAAATCGTTCTGGTCCCTAAAGCTATAGTACAGCCTGTTCAGATGTTTCTTCCTCTTTTTTACGTTCCCTTTGTGCATTCGTCTACCATCCGTTAGTACATCTCCAGAACGATCCTGCGGAATCATTACAGCGTCCCTCTTGGAGTGTATGGAAGAGGATTCCTTAATCAGTTCCATCATAGAAGTAAAATTGTCTTCTACGTTCTTTTTCCTTCTGACAGTCGCCTTGGCAATATCCCAATTTGAGAATACATCACACATCTTCCCTGGGCTGTAACTAACTTTATTCATATGAGAATTGCCGTCATTGTTCCCACTTTCATTGGTCATATTTCTTCGGTGGTGACATTTCCCTGGGCTGTAGTTCCTCTTTTGGTGATCATTCGATGTGACACTGATAAAGTCTTCATCCGTGTGGCTACTCTGGCTGCTAAGCAATTCATCTGCTAATTCTTCAATCGCGCTCGTTTGTTCAGTGCATTTCTTCTGGTGGGAAACTCTCTCCTGCGCGATGTCCTTACTTGAGTCCCATTTTTTTCCATTTGAAGACCTGTTTCTAGTGACGCGCGCGGAGCTACTCTCATTAAACGAAGAGGGTGGACTCTTCTTCCCGTTCTTCGAAATATTCGTCGATTTATCTCTACTTATCCGTCTATTATTCTTAAAAAAAAAGGAGTTTAACAGTTCGGTTCCCTTGGACACGAACAGTGGCACATACCTGCTCCTGGAACTCTCATGAAGAATATTCTTGGTTCCCTCTATTCTACTCTGATATGCTTCCCTCCTTTCTGTGTTGATAAAGTTGTTCCTATTGGCATTATTATGCATGTGTATATAGCAATTCGTGCTTTTGTGTTTTATGGGCTCTACAAGATTTTGGAGTAACAGAACAAGCGAAAGTGCTCCTGTGAGGCCATTAACCATTTTCTGACTCTACCCCATTTAACTGCCTTGCGATGCTGCCGGGTGCGCGGCGAGGCGTGCACACGTAAGGGACGGGCGATCTATGTGACTACATACAGCCTGCCTATATGCAGCGGGACTACATACAGCGTGAATATATGCCGCGTCAATATATGCAGCGTGAATATATGCCGCGTCAATATATGCAGCGTGAATATATGCAGCGTCAATATATGCAGCGGGACAACATACAATGTGAATATATATGTGTGCGTACGTGTAAGTATGAGAACTGGGCTATTTGCTCTACATAGACGCTGTCACTTTCCACGCGCGCGTAATTTTTTTTTCTCCTTTTTTAGCACATGCAAACGTCTTCTTCGTCGCATCAACCTGCCACCAGTTCGCAGCTACACGCTTGAGATTCCCTCCGATCGCCCTTCCGGTGGCTTCCTTCCGTCTGCCTGGTTTTCAGGGGCACTCTAAATGATTCGGCCCCTTTCGCGCGGACATGCCAATTACACGAACGAATTTGCTATTCGTAAAAAACAAACTTGGCGTAGCAGTTGCGGGACAACTAGTGGGAAGCCGCTGTCATGCGTCAGTTGCACATGCACTAATTGTGTGTCATCAATCGTATGACGAAGTGTGTAACCAATCGTGTGACGAAAGTCGCACCGCGAAAAGCTCGCCCTGAGACAACTCTACAAACAAAGGCTGCACGCGACGCGGAGCGAAAAAAAAAAGAAACTCACCCTTTGAGTGAATTGTTCTTCTTATGGAAAATAAAGGATCGGGAAAAGGGGGGGCGCAGTAGGGGGAAGAAAACAAAAAAAAAAAAAAAAAAAAAAAAAGAAGTGGTTTTTATTCGAGTGAGGGACATAAGTATCGAAACAATTCTCACGCACATGCGTAGGTACATACATATGTATCCATTTATTTACATATGTGTATATATCCACGTAAATTATCTGCGCGTGGAAGCACAACGATTTAACTATTTTCCTTTTCCTGGGTGAAATTGGGAAATTGCCACGGAACTGCAAAATCCTAAAGAGTGCACTGAAAAAAAAGGGCAAGTTTTTAAAGTATTTTTTCTTTCACAATTTTACATAATTCAATAAAAATCAGTTAACTTTTGGATAAATCAACCGAAAGAAGAAATGTAGATTTTTCCTCCTTCACGCTGTCGCGTGTAGAATCACATCTTTTGCAATATTTCTGCTTTCCTAAATGAGGCACGCGGACGTATGTACACATAAGGGGCGCGGCGTACACGAGGGTAAGCGTGCGCGGTGACTTTGAGTAAATTCGCTCAATCGGAAATGCAACACTTTATGTGTAGGTACATGCACATTTGCATACTCGCATTTATACCCTTTATCATGCGCCTGCGCACTGCTCCAACGTAGGCTCAACTGCATCCCACTTTAACGTTCCTTTCCATAGGGGTTATGTCCTATTTAGGCGAAAAAACAGAAAAGAAAAAAAGAGCGACCCCCTGGGTACGCATTAATTTCACTACATAAACATTCTCTGCTCCTCGAAAGAACAAATTTGTAGAGCACATTTTGGAGAAACTATCCCTACATAAAGGACGCAAAAGTGCTAAATAAAAGAAAAATATGATTGGTAGCAACATTCTAGCGCACACCACTCAAAGGGAATTTTGCCAGAAAAAGAAGAAAACAAAAATGGACGCTTAATTTTGCTTACCCAGTTGGTACTACATATTCGGATAAAAGACAGGGGTGATCACATGGATCCTCTTTTTTTTTTTTTTTTTTTTGCAGAAATCTTCAGGGTGAGACGCTAGAAATGCTACCTGGTAAAATACTGCTATTTGAAAATGTAGAGCAAAGGGGCACACCCTTTCTTACCCTTGTCGCGGGAAGCCCAGCCGAAGGAGAGCGAACAAAAATTAACGGGGCCAAACCGAACGGCACACTTGGCTCGTGCAGAGCGAAACAGGCAACTGGGTGAATCCACTCCGCCGCGTAAAAAAGAATGTCGCGAAAAAAAAAGCTGCATGCAATGTGATACGAAAAATGGGGAACGCAATGACCGAAATGGCTACAACGGGGAGGGAATCCATATCGTATTTAAGTTAAAAAAGAAAAAAAGTTACAGATAGTGATAAATCTAGGGAATCGCCAAAATTGCGAATTTCCAACTGAGTAGAAACCCCCCCAAAGTGGAAGGTGAATAATGAAGAATGAGGAGTACTGAATGGAGGAGCATAAATCCTCACCACGCCCAGTTGAGCGCCACAAATTTACGTACCAGCTGGAAGGAGAATTCTCACAGGGAAAATTACCCCACCTACCGCTCTGCCATCTCACGAAGGTCCTCCGACGGGAGGCATAATAGTAGCAAGCACATAAAACGGCGCAGATTATCTAGCATTTTATCGTTCTTATACCCACGTAATTAAGCCACATATGTACATTTTTGTGTAGCCCTCCCCTATAAGCTCACCACGATGCAGGCGGAATACTACCCAAAACAAAACATAGTGTCCCTGAGCATCGAACTCAGCAGCTGGGCCAAGGCGTTCCTTACCGACTTACGAATATCAAAGAATCTGCTCACTTGCACCAAGGCGTCTATCATAATTAAGAAAAAGAAACAAATTCGAAATTTCCATTTGTATAAAATTAAACTGGGACTACTATATGACAGTTGCTCCAACCGTCCTGACGTTTCGGTTGAGGGAGAAGAGTTGAGGCAAAAGAGTTCCCCCATGGATGATGCCCCGGGCGGAAATGACACCCGATGTGATTCTCCCCTCCGACATGCGAATGGCAGCTTCTGCAATACATACACTAATGAAAAGGGAGGAAATAAAAACAGGGTGATGTACAATGAGGAAAACGAAATCAGGACGAGTAGTGGAAAGGCAAACATTTTTGAGACAAATGATGGAAAGGATGGGATGAATGGAGTAGAATGGGAAGGCCTGAATGGGAGCAGACCCCATCCACTGTATACGAAGCAGGAGCATGAAGCCAAAAGAGGCACGGAATGCACACCAGTGAGCGTAGGACATGGAAAGGGGCACCACCCAAGTGGTATCAATAATCATACAAAGGAAAATATACAACAAGGGTGCGAAAAGACCTTTACAGACAACCATTTCGATACAGGCCACTTGTTAAGAGAAAAAAACATTTTTTCGAAAGACTTCCCCATCTTTGAAAGGGCCCATTTGGCCAAGTATCTATTTTTGCCCTCCTTCTTGTCAGTACAAAGTGCCAAGATAAAATCCATTCATTTTGTGCTAAATGAAAGGCTGAGCATATGCGTCCTCCTAGACCTAATCGTAGTCAGAAAAAAAAACAACATTGTCCAGTCAAGCATAAACAAAGAATTACACGACATGTTAAAGATGCAAAGAAGTATCCTTCAGTGCAAATCGTGCAGTAAAGGCGTTATCATATGCGGAGATGTTAATTGTATATTGCCCAATCTGTACTTAAACACGGCTGATTTTTTTGAGCACGCGTTTTGCGAAGAATGCACCACCTTCTCCTTTGATGGATTAAAAGATGTTGACCGGAATATTTTCCTCTTCCCCAATTGTTTGTTTTTTCATTTTAGCTTAGTAAAAACGAATCATCTAGCTGTTAAGGCAGATTCCTTGCACCACTTTCGCTTTTTACTTTTCTGTAATTTTTGCTACAACTCTCTGGGCTATTTAGAAAACCAAAGAAATCACCTGTATTCCTATCACAAAAATAAAAACATGAGTGATAAGCTTAAAGATGTTTTTCTGGGTTCACTTCACGACGCTGACCAAGGGCGGTACACACAGCTGAGTAGGGCTACTACGTTGCTGCGATGTGACCATCTTTCACTTATACACTTTAATGAAGGGAGAACAAAATTTCCCCATCATTTGGGCGTTTCCCCAGGGGGGAAGCAGGATGCCGGGACGGAAACGAAGGATGTACTTCTTTCCGAGGAAAATTTCCATGAGGAGAAAAAGCACACGGGGAAGAACGGCACGCAAAACGACAGCAATATTGGTCAAAACGACAGCTACGTTGGTCAAAAAGAAAGCAAGGTTTGTCACACAGCAGGTCACAATGGAGGATATCTCAATCCTTCCGGGGGGATCACCCCCAAGGTGTACCTCCTTAAACACAAAATAAAAATGACATTAAATGGAAAAAATATCTTCAGAAATTACAACGATGTACTTTTCCTAAACGAGTATATGCGCAATAAATGTGAAAAAAAAAACAAAACACTTTTTTATTTAAGGAGTAGCGAAAAAAGGAAAATAATCGAAGTGAGGATATTCATAAGGACTCTTTATATTTGTAAAATTCTGGACGATGCAAGACATATTTCCAATTTTTTAGGTCTCCAAAAAGTGATGAAAATATTGTTTTCCACAAAAGGAGAATCCCAATTGAAGTTGGCTAACTCGGAAACTATTGACCTTTCGAGAGAGCTTTACGAGGATGTATTAAAAATGCTCGTCGCGTATTCCTTCCGAGGGTGTGCCCCCGGAGCGAAGCTGTTCTCATATCTGCACCTGGTCCATTAGGGATGACTCTGCACAGTGCTTTTATCCCAGTTTGGTCAAAAAAAGGGGAAAACCTTTTTGCGCCGCAAAGTGAGCATATCGCGCTTAGGTCTCTGTGTCCCTTTCGTAGACCCCTTTTTTGTGTACACATTATTCTTGCCTGCTGTTTTTATTCCTCCCCCGATTTGTGACCAATCCCTTTTCTGTGTGCAATCCTTTTTTGTGTGTTAATTCGATGGTTTTTTAATTTTGCAAAGAGTTACAGCCCTGTCGCGGGACGAGGGCGCAATTTAAAAAAGAAAAAAAAAAAACAATTTGTCAAGGACAAAATGGGAACATTTGCTAAGCACGTCGCTAAAACGTAAAGGAGCAACTCTACCCCTTTCGGGGCGAGCCATTATTAAGGTGGCACATGATATAAATTGTAACAATAAACGTTACGTACATTTTTACATTTTTCCCATGTTCGCAAATTGACAACGCCCACGGTATCTTCCCCTGTTTGCAATAATTTATGGAGCTCGGCACCCCCGCTAAGCGGCAGGAGGCAATGTTAATTTCTACGTCACCCAGTGGCTTTTTCTCAAAATAAATAAAATTCCCCCTCAACGTTTTTTCACTAAGATTATTTTTTTAATTCTCCACCGCATGATTTGTATGTATCGTTTTTTTTTTTTTTTTTTTTTTGCGAACAACGGCCGGTTTGGAAGCAACCCTATCTCTGAGCCATCCTCCGCAGTGAACGCATCCTCCTTTGTTGCTTAAAGTGAACGTCGATTCATATTTGAACGCATTTATACCTGTATATCTGGGATACTTGGAAAAACTCGAATGGTGACATCTCCTTTTTGAGTAAAACCGGTGGACCGTTCCTGCGTATATAAATTGTGGAAGGTCCTCTTGGATTAGTATACCCATCCTATATCACTTAACCCCTCGAGTGCTGTGTTTTTGTTGCCCAAATCAGCAAAAGCACAGGGGCGCATACGTGTGAGTAAAAATAAAAGAAGTCGTATGCATAGGTAAAGGGATCGTCCACAGGGTTAATTCTCCAGGAGTTTTTCCCACACGTAACAGGCCAAATGACGAAACGGATGCCGAACAAGGCGAGCTCCTCATCGAGGGAGAGCAAAAATGAAAAAAAACAAGCAGAAAAGAAACAGGAGGAATTACCCCATGGGGAAGACTCCAAACAGAGGGAACAACCGGATAGCGGAAACACAAGAAACATTTTAACCATGGAAAATATTTTGGAGGAAAAAGATAGAGACAAGAATAAACAGGTGAAGAATAAATTAATTTTAAAAAATAAAAAAAACACAAGTAGCACCTTTAACAATAACGAAATGAGAATACTGACTATCCCGAAGCATCGCATATCTTCTATAAAAACCAACTGGATGGAATTAATCAAGCCAATCGTGACCCATCTGAAGTTAGAAATACGAATGAATGGAGACAAAATCGAAGTCAGGACATGTAAACTGACCGAAGATAAAAATAACCTGCAAAAATCGTCGGACTATATAAAGGCATACTTACTTGGATTCACCATCGAAGATTCCTTAGCCCTACTAAGGATAGACGATTTATATATAGAGAGCTTTCAAGTGAAAGATGTGAAGATATTAAAAGGGGACCATCTCTCCAGATGCATTGGTAGAATATGTGGCAGTAACGGGGCAACAAAATATGCGATTGAAAATGCCACCAAAACGAGGATAGTTATAGCAGGAGATAAAATTCATATTTTGGGCAGCTTCAACAACATCAAAATGGCTAGATACTCCATCTGTAGTTTAATTCTTGGTTCAACACAAGGGAAAATTTTTAACAAACTGAACATCCTCGCGAAGAGGATGAAGGAGAGGTTTTAGAAGAGACGAGTCTCTTTGCGCCATTCCTTGAGGGGAAAAGCGACGCTACACCTCCGATGTGCTTCCCTAATAGGGAGTAAATTGCGTACGGTTGGTATCCTATCGTGGATACCGATGAGGAAGGGGGTTTCATTTGTTACATCGAATCGATGTGACCATGCCGGTTAGACAGCATCGGCAACCCCCCCACACCCCTATGCACACTTACAAAGGGAGCTTTTTGGATAAATGTGAAGTTTACTTTTTATGAGGAAGGGACGGCCGCTCCCCCCGTGGAGGCTGCGCGACGTCGTTACGGAGCACATTTTTTTCTTAGTTTTCTTAGCTTTGTTAGTTATCTTACTTTTCTTAGCTTTCCAGCTTTCTCAGCCTTCTTAGCATTCTTAGTTTTCTTATTTTTCTTGTTTTTTTTAAAATTTTAATCCATATGGGAAACCCAGTTAAACCCCATTTGACCGTTTTATAGCCTCCGCTCTGAGCACAGGCATGTATGGCAAGGGTGTGGCGGCCTCCCTGCCTCTGAGCTTGGTCCATTTGTTGCGCAAGGGAGCATTCATCAAACGGGATAAATGTGAGCACCAATTTGGGGCCAATTTTGCAAATTGAGGAAAGAATCCCCCGCGCACGCGTACAGTCACACCCCTCCGCATAACGGAAGCCGTGCGGACAAAATGGGGCAGATATACACCTACGCAAGTCGGTACAGAAGTATGCCAACCGAGGGATATATATATATATGACGTTTAGTTATTTTCTTAAATGCCTGTGAGCGCGCTGCCAACCGGATGGAACGCTTTCTTCCCCCGCGATACTCCTGTCGAAGTGCCAGCACGCAGGTAACTCTTCGGTGTAACGTTTTTTCCGCCTGAATGGGGATGCTGCGTGGAGTTCACCAAACGAATTGTCACCCCAGCGCTGCCGCGTACTTCACGGTATGTTTGGAAAAATCGCATCTTCGTTTATTCTATCTTTTTCTTTCTTTTTTTTTCTTTTTTTTCCTTTTTTTTTTCCTTCTTCCTTATTTGCCATTTTCCACTTTTCTTTCCCCCCCCGCACAAACGTACCGCACCGTGCAACCTGCGCAGTGGGTGGAAAATTCCAAAGTGGAGGCAAAGATGTACCGCAAAAGCAGTTACACGATGTGTAATTATCTTTGGCGAACTATTTTCCCGTGGGATGTGTTTTGAAGTGCATTTTCGACTGCACACCGGAGTACACTTTTGTAAAAAAGAGTGTTGTCGTCCTTTTGTGGAGGCGTTATCTGTTATCCCCCCATGGATGCAGGCATTCGCACATATGTATCCGTATGTATGTGGGTATATATGTGTATATATGTATACATATATGTATATACATATGCATGCGCCCACACATGGCACCCTCTTACACACACTAATTATGAACCATGCGCAGGGTACTGCTATCGCTGAGCTGATCGACACACTGCAGACATTTCGACCGTGAAAGGTCTTCCACCTCACCCCATATTGGGAAGTTCCCTTTCGGTTGGCGCCTTCCCCGTGACGCTGTTTCTTTTTCCAGCGGGTAGCTCTCACGGTGTACCATTTTTTTATGTTTCTCCTGCCAACTTTCCTCCCCACCAAGCGCCATTACCGTGTGCGTGCAAGAGAGCCATCCCACTTGAGCACCCGCATAAGTGAATACCCCGCTGCTCATGCGAGCATACGTAAGTAAAAGATGAGTGGAGGAGTAAAAATGGGCGCGCTGCGGCAGCTGCGCCTGTTGCGACTTCTGCTGCTGCTCCTGGTGTCCACTCCCCTCCAGCCGTTCCAGTCACTCCAGTTACTTCAGCCGTGGTTCCCCCCAATTCTTGGCGTATCTGCGAAGGCCCCGGTCGGCCATCACGCGAAGGACGACTTCCTGCTAAAAGCGTTAGCAATAGATAGGAAGAAACTGGACTCCTCTTACTTTAAAAAGTATGATAACATAAAATGGGAGGGGAAGATAATCGCCATAGGGGACATTCACGGAGACCTAGAAAGTCTGAAGCTCATTTTACGACATGCAAATCTGATAAACGAAAATAACGAGTGGATTGCAGAAAATGTCTTGCTAGTTCAGGTGGGAGATATCCTAGACAGAGGGATTTATGGTCCATTAATTTATGACTATCTCTTCAAGTTACAAAAGGAAGCACCTTTGAAAAACAGCAGAGTGTTATTAATCATGGGAAATCACGAGCAACTAAACCTGTGCGGATATTTCGATTACGTAAATGAGAAAGAAGTGGAGGTGTTTTTTAGAAATAATTTGAACTACCGATTGTTCCATTTTGTTTCCACTAGGGGGGAGTATTTCAAGAAGTTAATTCGCCTACCAGCAATTGCCAAAGTGAATGACATTTTATTTGTTCACGCGGGGATAAGTAAACAGATTTCTTCACTTAGCTTAGACACCATACGGTTGAAGACAAGGCTACAGATTGAAAACATGTGCCGAGTTCTGAGTTATGATAAATCTATTAACTACGTAAGTCGCGAGGGTGTCCTTTGGCATGACCACATATCACGCACAGCTCCGCATGATGAGAAAGAAGCTTGCTCCATTTTATCTCACGTTTTTAACAATTACAAAGCCAAGCATTTAGTCGTAGGACACATCAGACAGCTGACACATGAAATTAGCACCTACTGCAAAGGTGGTTTGTTTCTCATCGACACTGGGATGAGCCTTTTCATGAACCATGGACAGCAGTATCCAAACTATCTCGTCGTGCAAAATGGGACCTTCAAGTCAGTTCACCTAATCGTTGAGGTAAATAAGAAGACCAAAAACTGCGATTCGCTTGAGATACAACTGGACAGCCCCAACAAGAAGACCTTCTGCGTTCACACGAAGGAAGCGCTTTTGTCTCCCCCGAGCAAAGGTTGACGCGTCCTCGTTTGGGTATCGCTTCGTTCGGGTGGCGCTTAGTTCATAAGGCGCCACAGTGAGACGATTTTTTTCTTTTTTTTTTTGTGATAACTCGTCGAGGGGTGGCCCCTCCTCCGCTTCCTTTTAAATTTGTAAAATGTCGCTTAAATGAAAATACAAAAAAAAGAAAAAAAAAATATATATATATGTATACATATATATATAATTGATCAAGGGCAATACGCCCTGCAGCTGAAGGGCACCTCCGCCGGAATGCAGTTCTCGCCGACGTGGTGATATCCATCGGGTGCTGTCAACATAACGATCCAAAAAAGATCTGCACAAATCTACCTTAACATAAAAAAAAGGAAAATAAACGAAGCAATAGTAATGGCCAATATAACTGTCCGCTTGGTACTGTAGTACCTGATATTTTTTATAATTTTCTGTATTTTGGGTAGCTGCTCTTTTAGGAAGTTAATTTTTTTCATCTGCTGTGTGATGGTATAATTTTGTAACTTCAGCTTCCAGTTGGTTTCCTGGCCAATGGAAATCATATTGTCCAGCTCGCTGATCGAATGCTGCAGAGCGCTTCTCTCCTTGATGACGTGATTTATTTCATTATGTTTGTACACAACAGATGAGGAATCCTTCTGTGGGTAAAAATTAATCCTGTTGTGTGCGCATATTTTGTCAAATATATTCTTAAGACTTTGTAACTGAATTTTAAATTTATCGAAAATGCTCAGATATCTGGAAATTTCCAAAATGTACGTTTTATTTTGATTAAAATGATTTTTCATTATATCCAGAGTTTGTATCCCACTTTGGTACAAGGTTTCCAATTCGTTTATTTTTTTTTTATTGTTGGAGAAGAAATCTGGAGGGCATTCTGGGTGTGCACTTTTTTTCAGTCTATCATTTTCGTAGCTGTTTATATTTTCCTTCAGTTCGCTAAGGAACTGCTCAAAATTTATTTGGATGTTCCGAATGCTCTTTTTATATTCTCTATATCTTAACCCTTTGTTGTAATCGCTGGTGTTGTCTTCGTCGCCTAGGACGCTGTACTTTTTCTTCATTTTGTTTGCTTCACGAGTGAGCTGGGTGTGCACGTTTGCGCCGAGTCCGTATAGCGTCTGCGTTACGTTTGCGCCGCGTCCGTATAACGGCTACTTCACGTCTCCGCCGCGTCCGTATAACGTCTACATAACGTCTCGGTCACGGCTGCGCCACGCCTGCTTCACTTGAGCGACCGCTTCCCCACACGCGCAGACGGCTTCTTTCCCCTGCTCGCATCCCCTTCTCTGCTGCCGGTGCAGGATCAACAGCCATGTCATCGTCGAGCCGAACGTGACGCACTACAATTCTTGCTACCATGGACTTGTTGCAAAATAGAGTCAATCCTGGCAACAGGGTAAATCACGTGAGGCGAGACTTCTGTCATCACGTGTCTTCTCCTCCGTTTCACATACTTTTAAAGCAACCCCCGCGAGGATCAAGCCAGCTAAGAAAAAAAAAAAATCGCGCAAAATGGAGCTACCTCTTTGCCTATTCTGTACAGTATAAACTTAAAAGGGGGAAAAAAAAGGAAGAAAAAAAAACACTTACCTCCACATTGCTACGCATTGCATATACAAAAATAAAAGTTGCACAAATATAACCAGTGCCTGTGAAAGAACATCCTGCGCGAATGCGCTTTTTTTTTTTTTTTTTATCAATCTTGGGAGAGAGGAAAATGCCCCCTTTGGAAAGCCTTCATCGGGGGGCGGATACCCTTACGAGTGAATCGCCCAGCTCACCTGCATCACATCACACCTCAGCGGAGCCCCGCGTTGTACACTTTTCCGCATGAGGAGGCATCCCCGGTGGACCCCAGCCAGTTGCGCATCCCCGATTGAAAGCGACTGCAATGAGTCGAAGTCACTAATGCAAGGAAGTGACTCCTCAGCGCAATGGACCCCAAGAAAGATAACAATCTGTTAAGCAAGAAAAAAAAAAGAAAAAAGAAAAAAATGTTAACACGAATGGGCAAAACGTTATCCCCTTTCTCCGAAAATACAGTTTGTAATTTAAAAGTTGTAAGAACGTGCAAAGTCGCCCTGCCGAAAGAGGACCTCTTCTCGTGTGAAACTCCCCTTCCCCTCGTTACAACACCATCAAAGCGGATGCAAAAAAGCGCACGCTACTATGCAGTTATATCCATACCGGAGAAAATCGAGCAGGAAATGCACCACTAATAGGAGTACAGGAGCAAAGGAGCGAAGAAGCAAACACACAACGATAAAGATATCGTCATTTTATTGTCACCCCGAGCATTGTCCCAATCTCACCTTGTACCCAGCACAGAGACATAGTTTAGCTCTCCCCTCCCCGATGTGTTAACACCCACAAATACTCGGCTTAACAAAAACGCCTCGAATAAGAATGACCGGATAAGATACTCCCCAAATGAAAAAAATATGCTAACCATATTGGCCTACATCCGAGCAGTACGATCCCCATGCAACCCCCCCCAACAGTTTTGTCCACTCCCTTATGTACAGAACAGCTTTACCCCTTCTTACCCTCCTCGTGTATGCCGCCCTCAATTTCACCCAAGCAGTGACCAGGCAGAGAAATTTATTTATAACCCCAGTGCGTAATAAAGTAGACACGTATAAAACGTACTATGGGTCGCCCATAAGCGTGAAGAGGGGGGCCACATGGAGGAAAACCACCGAGCCAATTCCCCGTAGGAACGTTAATGTCCTATATGACAGAGTCAAAGATAGCCACGCTGTAAAGGAAAGAGAAAGTGATACAATCGAAATGAACGGAGTAGTAGACCAATGTCTGGCCAACACTAACTTTGTGGTTCGAATTCCAAATGGAGAGACCTTCTTATGTTTCATCTCAGGAAAATTGAGAATCAATAAGGTGAAAATTAACCTGGGGGATATGGTCAAAATACAAATACATAAGTTGAACTTTGAGAAGCGCAGAGGGAAAATTGTGTTTAGGTATTTGCAGCACGCCGCCCTGGGGGGGAAGAAGTGCTGAAGTGGAGAAGTGGAAGATTGGTCTTGCGGGGTGGTATTCCTCAGTGGAGGCAAATGACCCGACCCAATTACGCACCCTGCATGGCTCTCATTTAGTATATAAATATTTTCCACCCAAGGCGAACCAATCACGTGATGCACTTTTTTTTTTTTTTTCACTCGTAGCATGTTGCTCAAATCGGTTGGGCATCGCTCCATTTACATCTTTATCAGCGCATTAGCCGCATAAGTGCAGCCCATTTTGCTGTCACCTCTATCTGTTTATCTTTTTTACCTGCACACCTCTGGTGTGAATTTATTTTCCCTGGGGGACATAGAAAAGATATCTCCATTCAGGGAGAGCCCCTCCCCCTGAGTGGAACCCGCTGAAAGAGGGAACCTCACCCAAAGGCATTTACATAAAAAGATTCGAATCCTGTTTTGTGTGAAATGGGTAATACGGGGAAGGGCAAACCGGTGTAAGATAAAGCGGGGTAAGACACAGCCGAATGGAACTTCTTTCGTGCCTACCTTCAAAGCGCAATTCGGCTTATTCACCCCGTTGTTGGGAGTGACGGCCATTTGGGGATTCCCCTTCCATGCGCAAAAGCCATGTAAATGAGCGGATTGTCCCCTTCAAGCGGCTACCACTAATCATTTTTACACATATAGTTCCGAGGGGGACGTCCAGCAAAATCAGGAGAAACAAATGGCCGATCGAAATGAAACCAGGGCAGAGTGGAAATTAGTGGCGATTTCAAGAAGGGTGCCTCCCAGGAGGACAGAATAAATAGTAGAGAAAAACATTCCTCTTACACAAAGGGTGCAGTTGTTCAAACAGCGCTGTGTCGCATTTCGTTTTTTTAACAATATAGAGGTCGGCTCAATTGGAACGAAATGTAACTAAATCGAACAGCGAAGGCTAGCAAAGACGCAGTGTAAGTACCAATCGCATAGGACGAACGAGCAAATGAGCAGTGACGTGGTCCAGCGGGGTAGTGACATAAAGGATATTTTCATTCCCTCTTTGGAGCGATTACGGAGATGGGGTCACCACCTCCAAAGCGAACACTGCACTCCTCGCCCCTTCCTACACAGGTACATACTAAATACATACACATGAATTTTTCTTAATCCGATTGGGGGTGCAGCGATATCACATGTGAAGGCATTACCTCTTAAGGCAAATGCGTATATCACCCTTTAAGGTTAAAAAGAGAAAAATTAATTGTTCTCTGTTGCGTCTCCCCACGCAAAATAAAGATGTAAAAATGTATAACTCACATTATGTGGTGAACATCCAGTGGGCACAAAAAAAAGGATGAATATTTTTGCTCAAAAAACAAAAGATACTTCCTCTTCGCCGTTGTCCCCTCTCGTTGGCAATTCATCCTGTTAACATGCAATTGTGGTTCCCTACAATGGTATGTAATGTATGTTTTCCTCTTCCATTCAATCGATATCCTTTCCTTTTTTTTTTTTTCCAGCGCGGTGTTTGGATGAGGTACTCCACACTTGGTTCATATGTACAGGGCTCACATTTACAATTCTCAGTTTTCCTACATTAGCATTTATATTTGCATTTACATTTCCGCGTGATGACCCAGTGAACTTCCCTTTTTGAGTCCATCATACAACACTGCGTTTTACGACCGCAGTGGTATACATCCCCAATTAATGCTAGGTGGTGACAGATGCTACTTTTTCCCACCTCGGTTCTCCATCCGCAAGAAAAAAAAAATAAAATAATCACCTTAATGTATCTCATTCTTGCTTCATAATGTAACTCTTTCCAATTGTAACTTTTTTTTTCCCCCTTATCCGTATGTAGTGTAGGCGTTTTAATTTTCTTGGTGCTTTTTTCAGAACATTCCAAATGGAATGTGCCACACTGTTTCGTCATTTTTTGTAACGGTTGAGAAGTGAAGCCTTGTTATATTTCAACCAGCCTTCCCCCCTCCTTAACTGCACAGCCGAAACATCCACCCCAAAGAGATGTTTTTTTTCTCTAAAGGGATACTCTCTCGCGACGGAGTGCTCCTCTATTTTCCATCACGTTCATTGCAAACCGGTTAAAAAAGCAGGACGTAGAGCAACAGCACAGCACATCGACACAGTGGATAATACTTCCCCTCCTCCCCCAGAGTGAACACAAAAATGAACGAACCAAGTGACGGTAAGCTCAATGACAGGAAGAGGAAAAAACCCGATGACAACGCAGAGGAGGGAAAGGACCCCGGAAAGTCCAAAAAAAAAGTAGAGTTTGAAAATGACGAAGAGTATGAGAAGTATCTCCTGAGTAACTTCAAGAAGGGGTCTCCTCGAGGAAGCGGGGGCGACGGTCGGCATGACACTCGGCAGGAATGGCGACGCGAACCCCGCCATGAGAGCACTCCTGCCGAGGAATACGCCCTCTCCGATATGATCAAGAGCTTCTACAGCGAGGTGAAGAAATACAAAACGGTAGAGGATATGGCGAATGAAATTAAAAGACTAGCAGTACAAAATATTAAGAAAAATCTGGAGATCATCTGTAACAACGAGTGTACCAGCTCCTTCTTTGTGGAGAAGTATCGAGTCAAATACATCAACGAGCAGGCTGAACTGAACGTCAAATCGGCACAAAATTATTTTAAAGAATTTTTAATACTTTACAATAGCAACAATTTTGATGATTTCAGCTTGGAGGTGAATACCAACGTGGACAAAAAGACAGGGGAGGACAGAAGAGAAAAGGAGAAGAATAACGAACAGGGTGAGGAAGTAGCCAATCATGCGGAAGAAGACCCCCCTGTGATGCACCACTCGCAGAATACCCACGGTGGTGATACGAACAGTGGTCATATCTCTCCAAATAGAGATCAAATCGGTGGAGAAGATGGCCGGACAAATGACCACATGTACAAAGCGAACACATGGAAGGAGAAAATGAAATGCAAAATTGAAAATCCAAATGAGAATACCAACGTTCTCATAAAAATTCTAAACTACTTATCCAGCACGTCACTCTACATCGATCACATCCCGGTTAGCATAAAAAAGTTCGATATTGTAAAAAAGTTAAACGAACTGAATTACGATGTGTTGAATGCGAATATATGGGACACATTTAGCTCCAAAGAAAGTAGACCTTTCTCTTTGTCCATCTCCACTGCTCCTTCTTTTCACAGAAGGGGAAATATATACTTTAAAAAGCATAACAAAATGAGTGAGCTCTTAAATGCCCTCCGTGAAAAACCACGTAATGTTCAAATTAATGGCTGGTACTTAAACAGCGTGAAAAGGAATAATTACGGCTACGTGGATTTGCGAATCTGCCCCCCTATATGTTCCCACGTAGAGGTAATTAAAGCCGATTATGAGAAGGCTAAAATGTTGGTTAGAAAGCTGGACGCATCTTGCCATATCGATGCGAATCTTCTGGGGCGCATACGGGAAGAGGCCTACATCGAGGTGAGGAAGAAGAAGAGGAAGTTGGGGGAGGGTCAAGCGGATGGCCAAGCGGATGGCGAAGGCGATGATGTAACGGTCGAAGCGATTGCCTCAAACAATGGTGATAATAATGCTACAGGGGAGAGTTCCGACCATCTGGGAGACAACCCCATCATAGATATCATCGAAGGGAACAAAGATCTCAGTGTGACGAAGAAGTTGGACATCTTAATTGTGTACCTCCGATTTGTGCACAACTTCTGTTACTACTCAGCGAGGAAATTCAACACGTACGACGAGATGGTCAGGGAATGTGGCTACTTCTACCTACGTGTAAACATGCAGAATAAGTTTTACAACAATTTGATCCCCATTTTTTACGAAAATTTTAACGTAAGCAAGTTGGAGCAGTACGGGCAGGGGAGCGGCTGGATAGACAACTTCGCGGATGGATGCCAACGCCGCAAACGCGGCGAACTCCGCAACGATAACCACGCCGTGGATGGAGCACTTCCAAGGGGAGACCAGCCCAGCCAGGAGACCAACCCAAATGAGCAACCCCCCACCTGCCCCCTTCTCCAGCGCCTGAAGAAGAAATATTTTAACGACGTGGATAGCCTGTCGGAATACCAACTCAAATGGCTCCTCCACTTCGAGGAAGAAATTAAGGACGCCATAAATGCAAACTACAATGAACAGATAGAAATCGAAAAGACAAAAGAATTTATGGACATTCTGAAAAATAATTATATTTTAAAACCAAGTGATAATCCTCGTGGGGATGGGAAAAGCGAAATACGTTGTGCTAAATGCAAGAAGCTCTTTAACCACATTAAGGACGTCCCCAACCACATCTTCATTAAACATAGCCAAATTAAATTCAAACTCATCACAGAAACGGAAGCAGAGATAATGAAGAAATGCTTTTATGAAGCCCCACACAGTTTTCACTTCCTTTTTATGATGGAGAAAAAATATAATCTTGGCCATTCCAAGAGTCATTTAAATAAGAATATTTTTAAAAAAAACCAAAATTTTAAAAACCAGAATTTTTATCTCGTTCCCAACAGCGCCAAGAGTGACTACAAAGATTTTGACGACCCCAGCTTGAATATCATAGAGAATGTAAAGCAGAGTGCTCCCAAGAACACCGATTTTTACGACGACACGTAGGGTGTGTGTGGGGGGTCATACTCACGCTTTTTATGTGGTATGCATTGCCCCCATTTGTGGGGTAAAGCCATTGAAAGAAAAGTTCACATCGTGAGCTGCACGAATTGGGAGAGCGGGCCGCTCACCCAAATGTAGACCTTCAAATGAAGGAGACCCTTTTTTATACGCAAAAGGTGTGTACATGCACATCGATGCTTTATCTATGCTTCGTCAATGCTTCAACAATGCTCCCCGGCAGCTGCTGTGATGCCGTTCGGAGCGTATATCCCTCTGGTGGGGTACACCAACGGGTTGCACGGATGTACTAATATGTGCGTGCCCCCCTCTTTAAGGGGATAGCCACCCGCCACAGGGTACCAATCTTTCCAGTCTGATTAAATTCGATACCATTAATTAATTTTTAAAAAATCCCTTTTTTAAAGAAACACACAATTTTGTGGGAATTTTGGACAAACTGAAAAATTCTGCAATTTTTCATCTCGCGGGAGATGGCAAAAAAGTAGTCAAACGGTCCCTTTTAAAAAAATGGGGACAACGCAAACAGAGCTGCTTTGCTTTCTTCCCCCACATATGATGCATGCAACAGAGGGGAGAGGTGATTATCTATGTGTGAAGAACTGTAGAATATTGTTTGCTTACTACCTATTCACAATATGTGAGCACAGACGTATGGAAAGGGTGCCCATTGGGGAAGCACCCTTCTCAACAAAGTTTACCTGAATAATATATACTTCCCATGGCCCTCATTTGCCTCTCCCCTTCTCTAACCGCCTATGCCGCTTTTGCCGCCTTCCCCGTCTACCTAAAGCCGCAACATGTGAAGCAGCAACAGGTCGGTTTCCAAACTGCGAGTGTGTGTATGTCTGGGGGGTGACCAAGAAAAAGGAGCAACACTTTGTATTTACATGTACCAGCGTAATGGTACAAGTTATATAGCTACCATGGAGACGTACAGAGGTCTCTCCATAAGAAGCAGAATGAAACGTGGTGACCCACCCTTACCACTTCAATTATACCTACTCCACTCATTCCCATGAAATGGCCCCTACAATTTGCCTTAAAAAATGAGAGAAAAAAGTGAAGGCCATAAATAAAGAAAAGCACATCACAGCAAAGTAGCCACATTGGTGTATTCTCCCCTCAGGTCAATTTTAGAAAATCCGGGGTGGTATACTCTTTGGTGATTCTTTTTTTTCTTTATCCACATAGGTAAAATAGACTCACGAAATGTTTATCTTTGCGTGCCTACCCATGGCAGGCATTTTCTTAAACTGCCACTTCACTTAGCTCGCAAATCGAGAAAGAGCCACTCCAGTTTTCCGCTTTCTAGCCAGTGGGAAAATTATCACCCATGAATAAATATACATAAATAAAAATATGTACAAATGTATAGCAGTGAGGATATGGAATTTTTTTCCTTTTTCCACCAACATATGGGTAACATATAAAACTACCCATTGCTTCTTCTCTTCTGTGAAATAAGAAAAAAAAAAAAAAAAAAGATACCTCTGCAGATGGTTATTCAAATTGATATGGTTACATGGGAATGGCGCGGAGAGGTAATTATTCCAGAGCAGATATTTTTGTGCGGCATTAAACTGGCATTATGTATACATGTATAACAGCACTTATATTTTTATCTTTGTTCCTATGGGTTTATTCGTGCACTCCTGCAAAGAATCATAGCAAAAATATATTTGCCGCGAAATTGTATTAACGCGTTTTCCATTTTTTTTCTTTACCCGTAATGTCACCCCAAGAGGGGGAAGCCAAGCAGATAATTCTTTTCTATATATTTCCCACCTCAGTCGAAGAAAAAAAAAAAAAAAAAAAAAGAGGAAAAAAGGATACATATAAAATATGGCCATACCGAATAAAGAGAGAGGAAGAAAAAGTCGTCAAAAAGTGAAAGCTGAACATTCTGAGGGATCTCCCTAAGGGAGCAGAAACAGAGAAGAATAGCGCAAAATAGAGGAAGCCGCTTTGGGACGCCCACAGGGAAAAAGATATCCACACCCATAGCAGTGCTGTGGAGCGGCACGCAAATTCGCAGAGTTACACATAAATAAACGTAATCGTTTACATACTCGTACTGTCAAGTGGGGACACCGAAATGTGGAGGAAAGCAGTCGGAAGCTACTTCGGTGGTAAGGGCGACGTCAAGGAAGACGAGGACGCAGTTGCTGATGCAGATAAACCAGATAATGAAGCAGCAGATGCAAACCCCAGAGAAGAACAGGAAGAAGCCAAAGAGGAACTGAATGAGGAGGAGGTTCCCAAGCCACGTACAACTCGAAGGGGAAGGCCCCCCACGAAAAAAGGGACCAAGGGCCAGGATAACAAGGGTGAAAAAGGGGCATCGGAAAATAAGGAGGCGCCTCACCAAAAAAACACAGATGGCAGCGGTGGCACCGATAATGTTGGCGGAAGTGAAGCAAACCAGGGCGACGTCAACGATAGCGGCGCTCCAAAGGAAAGGAGCGAGGACGCAGGCAAGAATGCAGATGAGGCCATAAGTGTGAAAAAGAAAAAAAACAATAAAAAGGAGGAGCCGCAATCGCAACAGCCGCAAGAACTGCAACAATCGGAACAGTCCGAACAGCTGCAACAGGAATCGCCGCATGAACCGGAAGAGGACGCGATCGAGGCACCTAGAAAAAGACACAGCGAATTGCGCGAAAAAAAAGGCGAGCCTACTGAAAAGGAAAGCTCAGCCGGAAACAAGCCGTCAGACGAAAAAAAGGAAAGAGAGAAAAGTCGCGAAAAGGCAAGCAGCGATCTACAGGAAAAGATGAAAATAATTAAGGAGAAGCTCAAGTCGAGCGAGCCCATTCAGGGGGCAAGCCTAGAAAAGCACCAGAACAAAGAGGAGGAGCGCATCATAGAGGAGGGACGAAGCAGAGAAGAGGGACGCAGCAAAAGGAAGCACAAGAGTGTGCCATCAACCAGCGACGAAGCCCACTCCTCCAGAAGGAACAGGCGAAGCGGAGAAAGGGGCATGGAAGAGAGAGGCGAAAATGTAATTAGGCACCGACATAGGAGCAGAGAAAGAGACAGGAGCGAAGAAGGAGATAGAGATAGGGATAGAAACAGAGACAGGGATAGAGATAGAGACCGAGACAGGGATAGAGATAGAGATAGAGACCGAGACAGGGATAGAGATAGAGATAGAGACCGAGACAGGGATAGAGATAGAGAAGTGGACGGAAGCTTAGAAAGAATTCGAAGCAAGGATCTGGCTCGGAGCAGAGGCAGGCACCGAAGCAGAAGTAGACACCACAGCAGAAGCAGACACAGGAGCCGAAGCAGAGGAAGACACCGCAGTAGAAGCAGAGGCAGGCATAGAAGCAGACACAGAAGCAGACGAGGAAGAGATAGGAGCAAAAGGTTAAGTAACAGTGATAGCGACAGTAGCAGTGATGAGAGACATCACCGCCACCACCACAAGTCGAGAAGAAAAAGAAAAAGAAGTTCCAGAAATAGTAGTGATAGAGAAAATTCCAGTGAAAGCACAGGAAACAGAAACGGATATGACAGAAAAGAGAGGTCATCTTCTAGCGAAAGAAGAAGTAAAGAATCTAAAAAAAAAAAAAAGACAAAATGGGACACTGTAGATGAAAATTTATTGAAAAACAATTTGCTAAATAACACTGCAAATGGAATACTGCAGCAGCAGAATTTAGCACTAGCGAATGGCTTGATGCCAAATAACACAGTGGCCCCATTAGTTAGAAATCCCTACGAAGTGGAAGGCGATAAAAAGCAAAGAAAATTATACGTTGGTAACATTCCTCCTAACTCGAAACAGGAAGAGTTAATAGATTTTTTCAACAACACGTTAGCGTCAATTATAAAAGACTCCAGTTTGGAAATAAAAATAGGAGACATTGTATTGCTGCCAATATTGAAGTGTGAAATATTTAATGTCGAATCTAGGTTTTGTTTTCTAGAATTTAGAAGCCTTGAAATTACATGGCTTTGTCTAAGGCTAGATGCCATTTCGTTTAATAATTATGCCTTACGAATAGCTAGACCACATGATTTTGTTCCGCCCCCAGGAGGGGACCCAGCACTGACTGTCGTATTTACAGATATCAACCACGAAGTATACGAAAAGGTGAAACCGATAAAAATCGCTCCAGTAAGAAGCACAGGAGATGATGACAACAAATTATATATACAGAATTTGCCCCACGATTTGAGAGATGATCAGATAAGAGACCTGATACAGCAGTTTGGGAAACTAAAAGGATTTAATGTTATAAAAGATGTAAACACTGGATTGAATAAAGGCTATGGCTTCTTTGAATATGAAGATCCTAACTGCACACCTATTGCCATGCACGCTTTGAATGGCTTTGTGTGCGGGCAGAACATACTTAACGTAAAAAAAGCTACATTCGGAAAAAGCCAAAATAGTACACAGAATGCAAACACGATAAGTTTAGCAGCTGGTAGTGTCGATTTGCCCGTGTCACTTTTGCCAAATTCTATTTCGCAAAAAATTTTGAGCAATTCCATCATAGGGTTACACATTCAGGCGTCCAGAAAAATTGGCGAGAAATCTTCTCGAGTGGTTCAACTCACCAATGCTGTTTTTCAGGAGGATTTACTTATCGATAGTCAGTATGAGGAAATATTAAGGGATATTAAGGAAGAAGCTGAAAAATATGGGCCCCTTCAAAACATTGTAATTCCGAAGCCAAGTAAGGATTTGTCTTACACGGAAGGCGTCGGAAAAATTTTCCTTCATTACGCAGATGAAACTACGGCGAGGAAGGCCCAGTACATGTTTAATGGGAGACTCTTCGAGAAGAGAGTAGTATGCGCTGCGTTCTACTCTGAGGAGAAATTCTTGGCGGGGAAATACGTCCTCTCATAGTATGAATTGGCTTCCCATGGGCGCGGAGATTTAACGGATGGGCCTATCTAGCAAGAGAAAAGACACGCACCATTTGGCGCAGCTTAGCTAGCCCCCTTTGTGACTTGTAATTGTAAGGGCCCGTGTAGTGAGGGAAAAGAAAAAAGAGAAGATAGTAGAAGACAACAGAAGGGAACATAACATATCATAACACAACCTAGCAGAACAAAATTTTAAAAGTTAAATATTTTTCTATTTTTTTTATTATCTCTTTTATTGCTTATACCGTTCATAATTTTTATCCGTATTTTTACCTACACAGAAAAAAAAAAAAAAAAAACTATCCATAACACGTTGTAGCTAACCAGAAAAGATCACCTCCAAATGGGAACAACAGATACGTGGAATATTTCCAAAAAAGTTCTCCCTGTTTGGATGCTCCGCGAATGGAGGTACATAACCTTAATTTACCTCTTTGTGTAAATAAGAAAATACATCGAAACCGCTTGCCCCACGCCTTCTCCCCCTGCTTTGTGAATATATATCCCGATTTCCTCATATCGTCACAAACGCATGGCCTGTTGTTTTATTTTTTTTTTTACACTTGTAATTAAAAAAAACAAAAGACATTTCTTCCATTTAAGCTAATCAAACATGTTTTTCACGTTAAATTTCTCTGCCCAGTTGGGTCCGAAACGCGCGTGTGAATCTTCCTTAAATGACGCAAAAGGCATGTGCAATATGAGCTGGAGGATGCAACTCCGCCTGGGGATAAAGATGCGAAAAGGTTTTGCTAATTTCCTCGCTTAGAAGTTGTGCGCGGGGAGGTAGTTCTACAATTGGATGCTGTTTTCTTTATTAATCCAAAACATGCCTATTATAGTCTACAAGAAAGTGTCGCAGAACTGCCAAAATGCAGTTTTAAGAAGGCCCTATTTTGGCGGTGGCCTTTCTGAGACTCCATCGACAATTCATTGTTAAAAAAAAGTGACAGCAGATTTGGGTGTCATCCCGCGTTATCCCCCAGACGTTACGAAATAAAATAATTTTTTTATAAGGTACATTGTGTATTTCAGTTTTTTTTCTGTTTGTTAATTTGGTACAACGTAAAATGTCTTTTTATATATATTCATTTAAAAAAAGAATAAATGAGGCTTTAAAATAAATATATATATATGTATCTACACCTTTGTATATATAAGTATGCATGCATGTATGTAAGTCTACGTATGCACTTATTATAGATGGTATGTTGGATATGGTTTATTGAAAATTAATTCAAAGATGTGAGGGGAGCGCAACAAATTAAAAGCACTACACATGGCCTGCTGCTTTTGCTCATATAAATAAATATATATGCGTGTATATATTTATTTATCTACCTGTACTTATATATTAAAAAAAATAATAATATAAGGAAGAATATATCCACTGGTATTGTTATGCGATGTGTAGACATATATGCACACCACATATACACTTACACGAACGCCTCGAACAGCCGCATGTACACTCGACACGCAGGTATGCATATGAAACAAGCAGCTGCGCACACATATGTATGCAGATATATATGTGTACATATATATGTCTACATATATACATGCAGGCATATGCACGCATAGGCACAACTTACACGCTCACACATATGCACATAACTCATTACATACGCATGAGCACATTTCATATGGTTATATAATAAAAACACTATTATTGCAGTTTGAAAATGTATAATACAGCATAGAATAGGATGGATTTTTTTTTTTTTTTAAATGTACAATTCTCATTTACAAAGGATCTTTGGTCTTAAAAATGCATCTTCCACGTGAACTCTAGTTCTTATTTTTGGCTTCTTCTAAAAAAAAAAAAAAAAAAAGGATTTTACAAATAGTCCGCAACCTGATGGGGGGGGAAGGGGGGAGGAGCAAAATTATGCTACCGTGTGTGGCAGTTGCGTATATAAAGGGGTACACATATATAGGTATACATATATATATGCCTGTGTGTGATGGCCCATTTGTGGCAATACTGCTCGCTGGTCCGTCTCACGTACCTCCAAAGGCATCTCCTCAATTTGCGTGCTGTAGTAGGACTCGATTTTCTTCAACTTGTCCTTCTCCTTATCATCGTTGGTGACAAAATTGATGGCAACTCCCTTACGACCGAATCGACCAGAACGACCAATTCTGTGAATGTACGTGTCGGGCGAGGTAGGCAAGTCGTAGTTAATGACCAAAGACACCTGCTGCACATCAATACCTCTTGCTAACAAATCGGTAGTGACCAAAACTCTTGTTGAACCAGACCTAAATTCTCTCATAATTAAATCTCTGTCCTTCTGGTCCATATCACCATGCATACACGATACGGTAAAAAGTCGGTTGTGCATTTCCTGGGTTAAAATATCGACCTTTTTTCGGGTGTTACAATAAATAATACTCTGGGTAATGGTTAGCGTTTCATATAAATCACATAAGGTGTCTAATTTCCATTCTTCCTTTTCCACAGCCACGTAAAACTGTCGAATACCTTCCAAGGTTAACTCATCCTTTTTCACTAATATCGTTTTGGGGTCTCTCATAAATCTGGTTGTCAGTTCTAAAATTTCCTGTGGCATGGTGGCAGAGAATAACGCAACCTGGATATCTGGGACCAGCTTTTTAAAAACTTCATATATTTGAGCTTTAAATCCTCTGGAGAGCATTTCATCTGCCTCATCCAAGATGAATAGCTTCAGCCTATCCACTCCCAAGTGCCTCTTGTCAATCATATCGTACACTCGACCTGGTGTTCCCACTACCATGTGTACACCCTGCTTCAGTTTGTCTATGTCTTCTCGTACGACGGTTCCTCCGACGCATGCGTGGCACTTAACCTTGAGGTAGTCCCCCAGGGCCAGAACAACCTACGCGGATGGGGGGCAAAAATGGGAAAAAATTACCCGAAATGGTAAAAAACTCGGAAAAATTGTGAAAAATGAGCACAAATCGGTAGAGGTGCAAAATGTGGGACGACTTGCTGCGCGGCCCCCCTTGGACATCGCGCACACACACAGCTACCGCATAGCACGTGCTTCGCGCAAACCACACTTACCTTCTGAATTTGCTGAGCCAACTCACGGGTTGGGGCTAAAATTAAAGCCTGGCAAGCAACATAGTCGTAGTTAATTAACTGCAGAGAAGAGATCACAAAGGTGGCAGTCTTCCCCGTTCCGGATTGTGCCTGACCAATCGTGTCGTAGCCATTCAATATTGGCTTAATACCTCTTTGCTGAATGGCTGACGGTTTTTCAAAACCGTAGGAATAAATACCTCTTAATAATTTTTCATTCAATCCAAGTGCGTCAAATGTGTCAACGATTTCTTCGGCATTTCCTTCAATGTCGTTTTCATTGGTAAATTTTTCGTCCTTAGTGCTCATTTTTACTTAATCTACGGTGGGAAAAAAAAAAAAAAAAAATGAGAAAAAGAAAGAAAAAAAAAAATAAAATATGACTTAGAACATATTGTGAAAAATGCTCAGCAAGGTGACCCCCCCACGTCCACCTCGCTCAGAGGAGGCGGACAACGGTGCCATATGTAAAGCCACACCGTCCGGTGTTGGCTCATGCCAATACACTCGCATGCAATCGGGTATGAACACCACGTTGTTACATAATCCCGTGATGCAAGCTACTATGCATTTGCCTCATCGACCCGCTAACAAGTTGGCTTTTCAACGAATGGGTAGAGCGGCGACGAGACGTAGTCGCCAGATGGTTAGCAAGAAAGGTGAACAGTCACAAGGTTACATGTGCAGATAAATGTGCCGCTATGTATGCGGCCAAATGTGCAAAAAGACACACGCGCAAGCACGTAAACACTCCCCTCCACGAGCAAAAACATGGGTAACCCCCCCAGGCGAACACGAATTTTACCTATGGGTAAAAGGTGTGGCCTCTAGGTGGTGGTTAACCGTCAGCGTGGAAGCTTGACTAAAGAACAGCAGGGTGTGGTGTGCGTGCGCGCGGGATTTTTATATGCACAATTTATTGTAGGACCTTCTCGTTTGGGTTTCTAAATGAGGAACTTTCACAATACGTGTATGCAAGCTTCATAAGCAATGCTTCGCAACTGCGGCGCGAGGGGAAAAGTACGACATACGTAAAGTACCTTGATGTGGGTATGGTTACGTGGATAGTACAATTAGATATACTATGTATATAATGCATATGCAGTCGCCTCGGCTGTTTTTACTGATAACTGCAAGGGGTTGGAAAAATGAAGGGCAAAAAAAAAGGTAATTAACGAAATATTCCTGCTATGGAGCAACATGTACAGGCGTGCAAGTACGTATACATTTGTGTATAAAAACGTGTAAGTGGTAGGAAGTACTCATGAAATATCGCTTCACATTTACAATAACAGCATTAACGCGTTATATGCAAATAAAACATAAACATGGGGATGACTACGGAGAGGGGAATGCAATATTTTTTTATGTACAACAAAGAAAGCTCTCGTTTCGCTTTCTTCTGTAACGTTCAGTTGCGTTACGCTATAATTACGTTACAACTACGTCAGCTACATAATGCTACGTACGCTAAGTATGCTACGTTGTTATGTTCTTTTTTTTTATTTTCCTTTTTACTTTATGTGAAGAGAAAAAAGTACGCGGGGATGCTAAATGCCAGATTGGGATGTTTATCTATATGTATACATGTATATATGTATATACGACTTTGTACATAATTAATTAAAACTTATAAGGGGTTAAAGGATTTTTGAGTGGGAAAATTTCGACGTTTTGTTTTGGATTGATATTTTTGGGGGGAAGAAAAAAAATATGTTTAAATTTTCTTTTCTTTTATTTTTTTATCAAAATATATATATTTAAATTAAAAAAAAGAAAAAGGAACAGGAAAAAGAAGGGAAAAAAAAAAAAAAAACCGACAGCTTTATGCCCTTTTGGGCGTTGTTATTTTTTTGAAGTTATAAAATAAGCTACTTGCGTAAGCACCTTTTTTTTGCTGCGTAACGAAAGAACATATTTTATTAGTAGAGTACGTATCTGGATATGATATATGATTGTATGCGCAGAGGAGGGTGGTACGCGGGTATATATAAACAATGTCGTATTGATGGGCATATATCTGCCGCAGGCATATTGCACGTTTATTTTGTATGCTGATGGACCTACGGGCGAAAGACGAACTACTCATTCCGGAAGGCTGTTTGAAATAATTGGGGGAGAAAAACCAAGGGAACCAACCTTTTTTCCTGAATACGTATGCAGGGATATGCGGGTGGCGCACGAGTGGCTTGTATGCAGTGCGTGATGTAAAATGGTTCCCATGTACGTGAAAACTGGAATATTTTTTCTGTACCCATATAAATTATATATTTTTATATACGTATAGTCTACATATGTATATTCTATATATGTTATATTTTACCTCTTGTGCGTACTGCTTTGCTCCTTTGCGGCCCACGCCGATCGGTTTACACCTCTACATGTTAAATAAATTTATTTTCATCACCTCGGCCCTATTTTTTTTTTTTGTTTTATACACTGGCGTAGAAGCTGCTCAATAAAAAAAGTTTAACCTGAAAGAGAAAAGAACAAAGGGACGGAAGCGTAATCTTTTTAAGTTTCAAAATGACGCCATTAATGCAAGCTGCATAAAATGGTTGGGAGAGAAAGGCAAGGGGGAGAGGAAAAAAAAAATACATTTATGTAGTTTCGCAAAATGGAATGATTTTACCATCATATATTATATGCGGGAAGGGCAGCCATTGGGGGAAATACAGCCAAAAGAAATAAAAAAAGAAAGGTGTATTTTTTGAAATTCTCCACCGAAAAAACTTTGGGTGTTTTTTTTTCCCTTCCCCTGAACCGCTAGTTTTTTTTTTTTTTTTTGCAGTGAGACTTCCCCCCCTGTGGAATTGTTCTTTATACGAATGTGCCATTTTTATGTATCATTTAAGAGTTTTATTTTTGTTGCATTGTCTACGGGGGGAATGCTCCAATTTGCCGGTGTTCACTTAAATGTTTTGACAGCGTACATTCCACTGGGATAAGGTTTCCACCTTTGCGGTGTTGCCATGGCATGTAAAAAAGCAGCAAGGAGGGGGGGAGGGGGGTAATAAGCACTTAGCGCGTAGTGCAGTGTAGGGGCCGGGGAAGCTCCTTTCTTCACCCCTTTTTTTGGCACGCAGGAAGGAACATGCTTACAAATATACAATAAGAGTAGTTACATAGTGTAACGTACAGAAGGACGCCACAAGGAGGCATTTAAAATGCCATTCATTCCGTCCGCATTTTTTATTTGCCCCTTTTTTAAGAGACCCAGGAATTGTAAGTAAAAAGAAAAAAAAAATGACCCGTTGCGGCAAGCCATTTCGCGTACTATTTTCGGAGAAACCAAAATTTGTAACTTTTTTTTTTTTTTTTTCCCTGTTCCTCCCAACGCATTGGGGGAAAAAGTGGTCCCCCTTTTTCTTTTTTTTTTTTCTTCTTTTTTGCTTCACCCCCCCACCCCCAATTATTCTTCCCTTTTACATAAAAAAGCGATGGAAATTTTTCTCACCTACAATTTTTCTTCAAGTTGGGGAAAAAGTGAAATAAAATTTTTATTTGCCAAAATGGGGGAAAAGGAAGTATCTGAGAAAGTGGTAGCTATAGGGGTCTATGTTTCCCCCCATATCTGCTAAAACAACGGAGGATGTCCACCCCTCCGCACCCCGAAAAAAAGAAAAAAAACGGAAAAAATAATTCCCTTACGTATACTGTGCAACGCTATTTTCCAAAGTTAATTTTTCTTAAAAAGTTCACACGTAACGGAAAAAAAAGAAAACTTTCCCATTTTCACCAATGGCGCGATGAAATTGCGGGATGGGAACACCTACACGGCACGGCACGTATGAACAAACTAGCATATGCAGTCATCTAGCAAATCTGACGCACACACGTTATGAATGTAAGTGCATAGGGTGACTAGTGGAATTATATCCTCCTAGGAGCTGTGAAATTGGGCATCATTCCGTGCAAAAAAAAAGTGAATTCCCCCCCATTTCTTCTTCTCCTCGGTCTTCCTGCCCCTCCCTCTTTGGCACTTACTCACGGAACGAGAGAACGGCATCGAGGGAAGAACTAACACTCGCAATATGAACAATTTGATGGCCACGAGAACAGAGACGGTCAAAAGAATACTTCATATGCCTAACTGCCGACTTCGCCACCCCTCCTGTGCATTTAAAAAACACATAATATATAACAAGCGGCACATTAACAATGGCAACAGTGACAGCAGTGTATGCACAAAAGGCGAAATCAAATTTGAAAATATATGCCAAGTGAGAGTGATATAGTGAGCATAATATCACTCTGTAGGCGATTAAGAATAAAATGAATAGGGCTGCAAGCTGGAGGAAATAAGAATTTCGTTTTCCTGCAGAAAGGAAAAGCAGACTGGGCAACAGGTGCGTGATGAATAAGGGACAAAACACGTACATTTCGTTATGCATGCCTAGGAGGTAGCGGTTATCTCGTAGGGTGGGGCGGCGGCCTAGGGGATTAGCACAATCGGGGAGACCACCCCACTTGTTGTGCGCGCAATAACCTCGCATGAACAGGACAAAGGCCTGGTACAGTGCCACCCAAATGGCAACACAAAGCCATTTTAGGGAAAACAACCTTCGTTGTAAATCCCCCTTGTGCATTGCATTTCTTCGCATCAGATGGTAGTTCCCCCCACCAGAGTACCCTACCCACGCATCATCATTCTGCGAGGTAGCAATGGTCACAAACGTGATGATGAACAAAAAGGCGAAAAAGGTGAGAAGGCAAATGTTGGACAAGATAGATAACCAACTAGCGAAAAAGTAAGAAAAAAAAAATTGCAAAAATAGGAATGTAAATCCTCGGTAATAGCTAGCCACAAGGAAGGAATGAACCTGCTGGCTAATTCTGTAACCATATAAAAAAAATATAGACCCAAGGTCTTCAAATGATTGCACCTCGATATCTGCGTAGAGGTTGCTCACATTAGTGCCGCTATGCTTATTCACCCGGATAGCTATATCGGACTCATTAAACATGTTTAAATCCTTTGCATGGTTTCCTACTGAGCATAAAATGCCTCCCCCATGTTTTGCATCTGTTGCATTGCGCAGACATCTGGCTATCTTCCCCTTCTGAATAGAGTTACAGTCGTAGAAGAGGGCACACCGAGATTGAGTTAGTGCCTTCATGAATTGCCTCTTCCCGTGTTTTACGTAGTAGTCAATTATGTCTCCTTTGACGATATACACACGGTTATGCGGGGGGGGAACCTTACGGAGTTTCCTTCGTATATTGCTCCTTCGGTCGACCTCTTGTCCGTTTTGCATGCCAGCTGGGGTTTCCTTATCGAACTGGATGTTCCCCCCTTGGCATTCCCCATCAAGCTTCCCTTTTTTCTCGCCTCTCCTAAAGGGGCACCGAAACTGGTGCAGCATTTCGCTCAGTGCATTTGTTAAAAAACTATCCGATTGTAGTGAAATGATTTTAGTCGCTCTTTTGGGTAGGACTTTTCCGACTGGGGGGTGGAAAAAAACAGTGTTAGTGTCCCCACACGTCTGTAGGGTACGCTCCAATTCGGCTTCCAAGCAATTTACCGTTTCGTTGTTATCCACCCCACCCGTATCGACACCCGTGTTGACCCATCCGTTGGAAGCGCGTGTTTCTTGGGTCGCGTCAGATCTGGGCAGAACCAATTTGTGTGAACTTCTAGTCTTTCGCATCATATAGTCGTCGCGATCGCAGCCGCTATCGTCTTCACTGCAGATGTTGCAGACGTTGCAGACGGGTAACGTCCCCCTTCGCAAAGATATACCCCCACTGGGAGATGGTGCCCCCAAGTGGAAAGAACAGTTGGTGCTGTTACCCGATAGGAGACTACTCTGGAATGTATTGAATGTCTCCATTCTGTTCCGTACCAACCGTGTGAGCCTTCTCCTACTGAGGTGACAAACGTAATTCCTTTCGTTAAGCAGATGTAACGATGTGGAGGTAGCTATAACACTGTCCTTCTTCTCCCCAGAGAGAATCCACGTTTTTATTTTTGCCCTTTTGAACAAATTCAGACACTTCTTTGCATGTTCGTGGATACCTTCCTTCAGCGTCGCAATAGCTAGCACATCTGGATTGTTAGCAAACACAGTTTTAAAAAAGAGTTTCTTTTGCTCTTCGTTGCTAACCCTATTGTATTCATCTAATTCGTTCTGTGCAACTTCTCTGTAGGCAAAAACAACTACGCGAAAGCCTTTGGCACAAAATGGCCTTAAAATTGACCTCAGTTTCTTCTTTCCCCTTTCGCAAGACATGTTAGCAATCTTTTCGCCGGGCCCCTTAACCAGATTGAATATTTTCTCATTGTAAGAGATGAGGGTGCATATGACCTGATCATTACAGTCTAGGGACAGTCCTTCTATTATTTCAAAGTTGTATGTCTTCACCTTTTTCTTTTTTCCCTTTTGGTCCCCACTGCGTTGGCGGCAACGACCGTGTCGGCCATTTCGCGCGGCGCAGTCGTTCCTACAGCGTCTGCTGAACCGGCCTCTGCTACCGCTGCCGCTATCATTGCTACTTCGACTGCATGACTGTTCCTCCCACTCGTTATTACACACGCGGAATCGCTCACATTTCACCTCGCCCCTGTCTACCTTTTCCGCCACGTTGGATAATTTAAAAATGCCGCCATTCTGTAGTGAGTTTTTAAAATGCCAGCATTTTTGCCCGACCTGTTCATAATTTTTTTTTTTTTTTTTTTTTTCTTCCTCCCCCCCAAAGAGCGTTCCTTCGAGTTATTGCGCACATTTTTCTCCTTCCCTTTGGTCCTGCTATTTTCCCCCATACTGTGTGTTTTGTTTTTTCCCCTTTCGTTGTGTGTAATCGTGGGAGTTAAAATTCCAACGGAAATTTTGGAAGCATCTTTTTTAAAAATGTCCATTCCGCAAGACTTCACGAAGTCTATGAAAAGGTTTTCCTCCAGGCATGGGGAATAAATTGAATCCCATTTTGAATGTAGCGTGCGCTCTCTTTCATTTTTTTTTGGAACCCCTCTTCTTCTAACCATTGTTTCATTGCAAAATAGCATGCACAGAAGGGTTAAAAACATTTTGTTCGATTTGTCCGCCGTGTAATTTGAGATATCACTGAAGATTGTTCTGTACAGCTTGTCCCTTTTGTCTCCTTTGTTTTTGCGGCCCAGTGGGAGGCTGTGCCGGTCTATGCTTTTCAAAAGTGCGGAGTTTTTATGGGGCCCCTCTTCGGGCGGTGGGCACAAGTAGGGGTTGAAGTCGACAAGGTTTAGGAGTGCTTGCAAGAGGCATCTCCAGTAGGCAAGGTTACCCTTGTGACCACCACTACGACCACCGCTATGATCATCACTACGACCGTCGTTGTGGCTATTACCTCCACTCTTGTCTTCCAACTCGCCAAGCAGAAAGTGCACCCCGCGCAACTTCAGCCCCACTCCATCGACCACTTCATCCTCGTCGCACAAAAGAAAAGACGTGCTGCTAATTCGATCAGCGATGTCAAAGTTAAGCAGAGAGAAGTTTGGAATGGCTTTTCGCTTCCGTAACGTATGAAACGAAATTATACTCATTAAGTAGGCATACATATTATTGACGTAGGGCGTATATGGGAGGAGAAGGAGGAAGTATCTGACAAAATTTATCAATGCGCTTGTTCCAAATGGACGTCCTTCTTGTAAGCACAAATAGAGACATACGATTAATACCAGAATTAGCCAGATCTGCAATCCTCTCCACTTGGCTTTACACTCCCCATAGGATATATTTTTTCCCCTACTCACTATTATACTTGTTTTTTTATCTACCCCTGCGTAGGCGACGAGGCCATATACTTTCCCCCGCACTATCTTGCTACCACACCAGATGACATTTTCTATTCCAATTTGTTCTTTGTAATTTTCTTGATTTTGATCAATAACAATGGGTGATGAACTCTCAGAGTGGAACTTACTGATGTAGCTTTCGAAATGAGTGTCCTGTGGTCCGCTTCCTCCCTTGACCAAGTCGGTACTGGAGACGTAGTCAAGATGGTTAGCCTTTCCAGTGGGGTCTATGCCTCCAGTTGGGGCAATTGTTCCCCCCTCGAGTGGAGGACTTGTGAAGGCACCCCCGACAGATGGTTCCCCCAAAGGGACTGCAGACCTCCGTATCAGAAAATCCACACATTTGTACGTCTTCTCAATATAGGTGTCTTCAATGACATAATTAAAAACCTCGCTCGCATGATGAAACTTGCCACTGGCATTTTTGAAAAATGTATTTTGCAAACATACCAAGTCGCTGTACATTTGCTCAACAAAGGAGTGATAATTGGTAAGAATAAACAAACCGTTCATTTTGTCCAACCGTTTATGTGGTTTTTCAATCATCAATGTTATTTTTAACCTGAACAGTTCATATATATTTGGTAAGTAAGAAGTAAGCAGAATGCTCTTCCTCATTTGGAGGTCCGTCTTACCGTCCAGGTTTTTTGAACACACGTAGACGTCATCGTGACCGCACTTTAGGAGAACCAGGTCTGCGGGGCTTTCGTCGTTTTCTTCTAGGTAGAGTACGTCGCCCACCTTCGGGGGAGAGGGGCCAAATGGAAAACGGGTTAAGCGAGGTGAGCGATTTGAGGCGGTTGAGAGGGCTAAAAAGGCTAAACTGCCTAAACGGGTTACTTAAGAGCTTAACAAACGGATGAACATCTCACTGGAAAGGCGGAGCGCCCGCGCGAATAATAAAGAAGGGACGTGTAGGGGAGGGAACTCCCGATCTCATTTTGGCGCGTTCACCTCCTCCCCAGGGAGAGTGCACCTCTCGCTGAGACCTACCTTGACCTCAGAACAAGGGACATCCACCAATCCAACAGGAGTGACCCGCCTGCACGTCTTAGCGTTAACCCCCCTCTCAGTGGCAATCCGTTGAGCTATCATGTGAAGATCTTTCAATGCAGAAAAGACGAAGAGGACGAAAAAAGTAAGAGCAAAGTATGTATAATTATTTGTCCTAAAATGATATGTCTGTTGAAGCAAAAAGGATGTAAAAAAAAGGAAGAAATAAAATGTTCCAAGCCGGTTAATGATCACGCGAAGTATTAACTGATGTCTGTTCTTGTAGTGCATACAAATGTAGTCTCCGTTGTTGTTACTCCTTAGAGGATTCCTATCTGCGATGTAGTAGGTCTTCACACACTCTTGCTCGTACTTGCTTATTTTGCAAAAATTACTCGCCTCCTTCATTTCTTTTCTGTGATAATGATGGTGTGTGACCCTGCTGTCTCGAACCATAATCTTTTTTATTAAAGAATCATCACTGATGTAGAGATTATTTTCTGCATTGAAGGCCTTTAAATTGTTAACCTTGTCGATAAAAAGCTTCTTCATTTTTGCTATTTCTTTACACTCCTTATAATTTACGCCCCCATTAGTAGTGCCCCAATTGTGCACATAAAATAACATGTTCGTTAAATAATTTTTGCATATTTGTATCATGTGTTTGTTGGATAGGTTGTCCGTTATCGGGTAAAGGAAAACGCATCGGTCTAGCTTATGTAGGGTGGCTTCATTTTCTTCCTCTGTCTCTTCGAGATCTTTTATGTTTGTCTTATTCCTTCCATTTTGAAACCGCACCAAAAGCTTCATACGTTCCCATATGTAGAAAAATCCACTCCATTTTAACAACCTCCCTATGGTTGTCCTTGTTTTGTTCCGGAGAAATGACCACACGGGGGAAAGAAACACCCTCACGATGATGTTACTTTTATTTTCGCTTATGTATTCATCGTCATTATAATATAGTATGGACACTCCCCTCTTCTTTTTGTAACTTCCTACATTCCAGAATTTTGTCCTTACAATATGGAAAAAACTTTTCAACTTGTTTAGGAATTTTTTTTTCTTCTTCTTCTTCTTTTTCTTCCCCTCTCTTTGCATCTTCATTGCTATGTTATGTCTATTTAAATGCATTTCTTTTGCGTGAAATGTGGAGAAATGGATGTTGCCCTCGAATACCGTTGGGGTCGCCTACACGCAGGCAGCGAGAAAAAATTGACCAATCGGACAGCCATGAACAGCGGGCTCGCACGATAAGGGGGGTAGAAAAAAAAAAGGAAAATGCCATTTTCTCGCAAGAGAAAAGTAAATAAGGGCAAACCCTCCCGAGAATAACCCCACAAATCAACATATAGACAAGCGCAAACCTCGTGGACGAAAAAAAAGACAAAAAAAAAAAAAACGTCACGTTTTTATGCGCAGTCGTCACGCATATGAACCGTTCTCTACCCTTCCGCTTTCCAATCACACGGGTGCGAAAAAATGTGTTTCGCCGATTTGTGCAAACCTACCAGAGAGAATCATTTCCGTTTTGTAGGTAGAATAAACGGCTGTTGAGCACACGGCGAATTGGGTTTCTTTTTGATATACTATGTTATCCGTTGGATTCCCCAAAAGGGGTATTATTCTATTTTTATTATTATTATTATTTTTTTTTTTTACCTGAACAGGTCGTACTCTTTAAACAATGTGCAATTGTCTGGATGGAAAAATTAAGCGGAAAAAAAGTTGAAGCATATTGGGGGTGCGTCTTTCCCTTTCGCCTTCGCTTCCCCCATGGGCTTTAGCCCAGACATACACAAGAAGGGTTAACCGGCATGTGACTAAATGGCCAACTTCCAGGGCACAGATGGGGGCTCACTGACATTTACGTACAGAGAATTGGTAGCCTCTAGCCATACATGTGGCAGGCAAATAATTTCGCGCCAATTAAATTGAATAAAATGTGCAGTGGAAAGATCAATGCGAATATATCCATACGGCAAAAAGGGTGAAGGGGCCTGGAAAATTCCCCTTTCATTATGTGTTGGAAAACTCCTCTGAATGAACTTCCGCCACACGATGTCGCCATTGTGTTTGTAACTCGTCCAGCGTGTTGCCTCTTTAAGGTAACAATTTTTTTTTTTTCCATTTTTTCCGCATAGCAGGTGCTCATTTACACCGTCTGGATTTTTATACATGTTCGTATGGGAGATATACTTAAGAGGAAACCACTTTGGAGGGTTCACAATGGGGAATTCGTGCGACCATGTAGCACGCCTTCTCTCATGCGTGGTACATTTCTCCAGTGCTCCCCCTGTCTTCAAATGTTCCGCGTAAAATGCAATTAAACCAAGTGCTGCACGAATGAACCCTCCCCGTCATTTCCTGGGGAGATCCAAAACGGAACAACGTAAACGAGCGCTTAAGTGGGTACCCCACGAGGTGCAGTGATAGCTGTGTACTATCTATGCAATTTTAAACGGCTTATGCGATCGTGGCGGTTAAAATGATGGAGGACTTATACACAGGCGCATATCTGTATGTATATGCGTATGCATCGGGTAGGTTTAATCGTCCTCTGGTATATGCGCGCGTTTGGATTAACTGGTCTGGATCAATTTCCCACGTTTGCAATTTTGTGAAAAAACAAAAAAAAAATATATATATTTATTCTGAAGATAGAAATTAAATGAATTTAAAAAAAAACAAACCATCGGATTTTTTGCCATGCTCGTGGCAGCATAATTAAGAGCCAAATAAGGCACAAGAATTACACAAAAATTAAACAAACAAAAATGCCGAAGGGGAAAAAAAATAAATTTACTCAGAATGGCCTATTTGACAGAAAAAAAATTGGTACAATATAGTATGAACAAATCCGTGAGACGTGCCGCAATTTAAATGGCAATTTTCCGCCTTAGCATTCTTTCGTAAAGGCGTTTTGTTTTATTTTATTTTTTTTTTGCCATCATAAGGAATCCCAAAGAGGGGGAAAGTTGGAGCGTCCAATTGTTATATGTACACAAAAGGACACGTACAATGTATACATTTACATATGAGTCCAGCGGAAATGCGAAAATTTTCCCTTGTTTTTGCGCCAAAGGGACTAAATGCGCTTTTTGACATTTTTTCACTCGCTACGTAAAGACGATTAAAAACGGAGGGTGAGGCAGAAAGGAGTAGCAAACACTGGCCAAGAAGCAGTGGTAGCACATTAGAAGAAGCTTGACATGCCTGGTTAATCGATCCCAACGGTTAGCAGTCCAAAAGAGCAGTGAATGACCCTCGCCTGTAGCAAACCGCCCAAACGTGAGGCAATCCACGCCAACGTTTGGTAATCCTTACCAAAAGTTAACATCCGCTCCGAGCTGCTACCTTCTGGGCGCTTGGCCAAAGGCCTCAATTGACCTTCCGATTAGTCAATAGAAGTAGGGGAAAATGGTTCAGTTGGGCGAGCTCCTCGGCACAATTCCGCTAATAACCCGCTTATACCTCATCCTCTCCTCCGTTCTGATGGTCCTATGCTCCCTGGACGTCATATCCCCCTTGAGCTTATACCTAAATTGGAACTTAGTCTTGACTGAGCATCAGGTAGTAATGAGAAAACGGGGAACTAAACACCACACCTGAGTTGTTTAGAAACGAACTTGTCCGTTTTTTCTGCTTATTCCTGATTTATTTTTGCCGTCTATGTCACCCCACCCCCATCCCACTTGTGACACTGATTGAGTCACTTCTCCATGCTCAAAAGAGTGTATGCCTTAATATACATGCAAAGGGGCAAAATAAATTTCACCCCCTGACCTTTCCATTGCAGTACTGGAGACTTATCACCTGCTTCTTATATTTCGGCTCCTTCGGGCTTCATTTTTTTTGGGATGCCTACGTTTTGTAATTACAGCAACATAGGAGAGAGAACGCGAAAATGCCCCGCCAGGGGTAGTGCATATAAACCTATTCGCGTGTACAGATGTGGATATGTCTGCTGCCCCGACTGACAAAGCCACAGTGACATTCGCGTGTAGTGAACACGATGAGCAAATTAAGATTATTTTAAAATTAACCCCTTTTTCGTAACCAATTTTCACTGAGCATAACGATATGCATTTTTTTTTTTTTTTGCCCTACAGAATATACTACTGCAGTTCACTGGAAGATGTCACCTTTAGGAATAACTCGGCCGACTTCCTCTGGATGATTATTGTGTCCTGCATGATGCTGCTGGTATGTGCATGCGGCGCGCGAAAGCGTTGAGGTTAAACGTGGGCTGTTCGACGGAGGATTATCTCCTTAGAGAGACGCACACGTTGTGGGGAGATGAGCAACGTTAAGGGGGACCACTCAGGGAATAAGAAGAAAATAATTTTTTTTCCCCTCATTTTTGCTCATTTTTCATCATATTCCCTTTTTTCCCCCCTCCTTTTCTTCCCGCACTGCAGGTTGTTTCGTACATTTTCGGGGGGGTGTACTTTTACAGCAGCTGCATAATAAATGTGATCACCTATGTGTGGAGCAAGAACAATTCCTCGACGCTTCTTACCATTTTTTTTTTCACCATAAGGGCGTCCTACCTTCCGTGGTACGTCTCATCGCAGAAGCGTCTAGACATAGCAACGACGTAGCGTGCAAACTATGTAGTGTAGCGACCATGTACCGTCGCAACCAGAGCAACATGACGGAACTCACACCTCCGCCCCACTTTATCTTTTCCCCCCACAGGGTGCTCACTCTGCTCTCCCTAATTGTCGACTACAACTCGAATGATAACTTTTTTGGTATTCTAGTGGGACATATCTACTTCTTCTTCACGAACGTATTCCCCCTCATGCCCGTCGCCAAGAACACGCAGATTTTTAAAACCCCCCAAATTTTGTAAGCAAAGAAATAAAGATTAAAAGGAAAATAATAAATGGGCACAGACAGCCAAAGTCTTAGCACTTTTACCTTGCCGGTCATAATTTTTTTATTCTGGTCAGCCATTTTGTGATAATTTTAT